AACAAATATTTCGCAAGGCACCTTACTTTACGTACGGAGCACTGCTTGTCAGAGGTGTCATTCGGATGACCTTCAAAGATGATCCTTCATCTCACGGCTGTTTGTGGGGCATTGCTGTGTGCAAATTGGATGCTGTGTTCATCTACAAAATAAATAGTCAGTACACTTTACAGTACGTCCTGTGACAGGGGACAGGAGTGAAGGGAGGCCAACATAGTTTCAGAAAGAGAAATGGCTGTAGTCTTCAATAGGATCAAAAATAAATAAAACAGTCTCTTGCCACAGTGAAGCATAATAAATTAATTGGATTAATTTGCAATTGCTGCTGAAGAAGGCTATAAAACATGGCGTGGAGGTTGTGTTAATTGGAGGATATAGTGGGTGCTGCATCTCCAAACGCAGAGCTGAGTCACAAAGCATTCATTGAAAATCACATAACTGCTAAGAGAAGCTAATGTGATAGAGCATGTGGCTCGACTCTGTTAAACAGTAAGAGAGCAGGGCTTTGTTTCACTGTGTGCTGGCTGCTTAGGTTCGTGCTTGCTCAGCTGCTGCCTCTATAGGAATATAAGGAAAATTCAGGTTAATTAAACTGCGGGCAGTTTTTAGTACGCGGTGCATGGAAGATTATTGGAGCTGTTTCAAAGACATTCATCGAATGAATTGCTCAACGCCTATGTATCGAGTGTTATCAAATGAGCCGTGAGAGTCAGAGGACTTGCAGCAGGTAGTAATAATGATAATAGTTACATGTGATGTAGCACCCTTCAGGCTGGGAGGATGCCTCAAAGCGCTTCACTGGATACACTGCATGGTACAGTGAAGCCATCGATATCAAGAGGCAGAGTGTGTAATACCCTCTCATTCTTTATCATATGACTGAAGCCCTTGTGCATGTTACATAACCCACACCTCGAATGCAACACATCTCAGCATGTTGTTTTTTAAAAGCCATATTGATCCATCGATGAAGTGCTTCAGACAGTGTGAGAAGCCGATACGATGTTAAAAAAAACATGCTCTTTGTCCAAGCCCTATTCAGGTTACTCTGCAGATGTAACTAGGTTTCGTGTATTGCCTCACGTCAGTCAACCAGAACGATTCCCTTCCTGATCCTGCCCGCACGTTAGTACACGTGCTAATTCTCACAAATTTGGTTTTCATTATTTTGGTCAAATAGCATTACAGTATTTAACTCTCGGCTGCCTCTCATGTTTAAGTGGATCATTTCTAAAAATGCAAATTCCCTCTCGCTCTGTTGTTTAACAGCTCCGACTCCCTCATGTTTTGTCTGTGAATTCTGTGCACATTGAGGAAAGGCACCATTGCTGAGGGAATGGAATATTTCTCTACCTTTTGCCTACGAGCAGGCCTACGGGAAAAGATGGGGGCAAAGAAAAGGTCATTCTACATCAAATTAGAGATAAAGAATAACGTGGTTTAATCCCGACCTCAGAAAGGACCCTACAAAGCTCCTGCATGACATTCACTTTTGCAGGACCAGCTAACGACTGGCAAAGCTTCTTACCTCCTCTAATGTAAGCAGGTTTATTGGTAAACCCACTCCTCTGGGTGGCCCCTTCGCTCAGATGGCACAGGCTTGCTGCGCATTCCCCAATCCCTCCTCACCACCATCAGTGTGAGAGCTTTCAGCCACTCCTAACCTCTGGAACTCTTTGTCTCAATAAAACCCTTTATCCAACCTACTTGTGCCCAGGTCAGAGCTCTGTGCAAGCCAAGCTGTGCTTCAATAAAGAATTGTGTATTTATTCATTACAGGACGACTGTTCATCTGATAGCGCTATATTGACCTGTCCGCTCCCTCTGCTCGGCAGGCTCCCACCTGCTCCAGGTCCCCCGCCTGGCCCGTCCTATCATCTGCGGTCAGGCCATCAGCAGTCGGGCCTTCAGCCTCTCAGCCCCCACACTCTGGAACTCCATTCCAGTCTCTTCGCCTTGATCCCTCCCTTGCCTCGTTCAAGGCATATCTCAAGACCCTTCTCTTCGACCGCGCCTTTGGCCACCTTCCTACACCTAACTCCCCTTGCCCTCCACCCCTCCTGATCCTAAACCCTGGTCTAAATGCCTGATTGTCCAGCACCTTGGGACGTCCTGTCAACGTGAAAGGTGCTATACAAATGTAATTTGTTGTTGTTGTTCACATGCCCCCATAACGTCATCCACAACCTGCTGTCGCCATTCTGGTCACAATGAAAAACTCTGTAAGACTTTTCAAAGGGCGTGCGCACACCTTCACCAACAGAAATTCCCAAACATAAGCAGAACTCTCAGTCATTTGGATTTGCTTAACGATGGGGATGGGTTTCTCCGTGTGTCAGATACCAGGCTGACCAAAAAGAAAATAAGGCTCTTTAATCTTGAAAATAAAGGTCGTAGAGGTTGACCTTGCATTGTTCGCCAGAACACAGTGAGAAACCCTTCCTTCTCTTTTTGAATAGCGCCATGAGATCTTTAAAGTCCATCTGAAGAACAGGCGAATCATTTAAATTCTCATCCAAAGGACAGCACCTCCACATTACAACCCACTCCCCTAGTACTGCACTTAGCCAGACTGTGAGTTTACGTCCTGACACGGGTTAGAGCCCTGTAGCTCAGTGGTTCGAGCACTCGCCTCACAAGCGAGAGGACCTGGGTTCCATTCCCGGGCAGGGCGAAATGTTGGGCAAGTTTCCTTACTCCGCACTCCTGTTTACCTAGCAGTAAGTAGGAACCCTCTTGTTAGTAAATTGGCGGATTCCTTTACCGGTGGCTAATAATCCTTTGAAAATAAACAACATATCAAATGTAAGGGTTATTATTATGGGGCTTGAGCCCATACCTTCTGACTCAGTGATGGAAGTGCTAACAAATGAGCCAAGTTGGCAATAAAAAATGATCACCTTGGGTGACAGCTGGCAATGTAAAACCCATCTTTCATTGGATTTGAAAGTTTCTTTTTAAATAAGAGCTCACACAATCTCAGTTATTGCTGCCCTGGTATCCCAAAGGACGAGCTCAGGGCAACATGCTCCAAACTCTAATCGATGAGCGCCACCTGCTGTCAATCTCTTGCATTACAGGTATGAACTATGCCAATCAATTTTAATGTATATAGCGCCTTTCACATTAACATAAGAAATGCTGGACGAAAAAAGACCAAGGTCCATCTAGTTCGCCTTCCACTTTTCTGGCGGTCTCATGCACATACGTCCCAAGCTATCTATGTGCTGTATCCCACAATGTTAATTCCTAAAAGAAAACTGGTGATATGATTTACATTATCAGAGGGAAGTGCCTTTAAACAGTGTTTGTTTTACAAAGTTGAAACTGGTCGGTTTTATTTTGCTTAACTTTATATCGAGTCGTTCCACATCAGAAGCTCCATCTGCTGCAGTGCAAACATAACTGCTTTCGCATTCAGATGTTTCACCATCTGTACATAAAAGCAAATTCTTAATGTAGAGTCGATCTGCAAAGCAATGACTTCACTAGTTCAGTTTCAACACTGCAAGCTGACCCAAATCGATTATTATCATTTATTATTATTATCAAATAATATTTTATTTAATATTTTCATTAATATTATCAAACTCACTGCTTGTCGGCCTCCCCAACTCCTCCCTCCACAGGCTGCAGATCATCCAGAACTCTGCAGCTCACGTTCTCTCCCGCACTAGGCTCCACGACCCTATCACCCCCATCCTCGCCCAACTCCACTGGCTTCCCATTACACAGAGGATACAGTTCAAGATCCGGATCCTCACCTTCAAAGCCCTCCACGGTCTTGCTCTCCCCTACCTCTCCGACCTCCTAACCCCCTACCATACTGCTCGCTCCCACCCCTCTGCCCTGTCACGTTCCCCCGCCTTGCTTGTGGGGCAGGGTTTCTGCCACTCTGCCCCCATCCTTTGGAACTCCATCCCATAGTCCCTCTGCCTCGCCCCCTCCCTTGCCTCCTTCAAGACCCGTCTCAAGACCCTCCTCTTCGACCGTGCTTTCAATCTCCATGATTTCCCCCCTTGCCCTCCACCCTCCCCCACCCCAGTTCAACAACAACAACAACAACAAGATTCCATTTATAAAGCGCCTTTCACGTCAGGAGGACGTCCCAAGGCGCTGCACAGTTGGGTCATGACCCGAGCAGGGGGGAAATGGTCAGGGTGAGGGGAGGGAAGGGAGGGAGCGAGGAGGGGGGAAATGGTCAGGGTGAGGGGAGGGAAGGGAGGGAGCGAGGAGGGGAAAGAGAGTCGAGAGGGGAGCTGAAGGCTCGGTCAAAGAGAAAAACTCAGGTCCAAAACTCTATCTGTCCAGTGCCTTGGGATGTCCTCCCGACATGAAAGGCGCTGTACAAATGTAATTTTGTGTTATTATTACAACTTTCAAAATTATAACATATATGTTATTACGTATATAATATATGCTCAAAATTACTGTTCAACTGCTACCTTCACCTGCATTGAAATCTGAGAAAAGTGTCTACCTTGTCAGAAGATGATTCCTGATCAAGTTTGAAATCCTATTTGTAAACCATTGTTAAAAAAATTGTTAACTTTGTTGGTGTTGCAAGAATCAGATTGCAACACATCATCCAAATCACAATGATAAATATAATAAATAATAAAAATCTTTCTCACTGGCATCGCGCCTTTTCTCCAAAGTCACGACATCTTCCCAACATGAAAGACGCTATACACAATGGAAGGATTACTATTATAATAATCAATGAAGATTGCTCTGGTTACTCCTTCCGAATCTCTATTGAGATGTTTGTCCGAACCCTGTATCATTAATACAATACAAAATTACACTTGTATTGCACCGTTCACTTCGGGCAGACATCCCAAGGCACCAATATACAAGAAAATGGGTACAATACACCTCCCATCTTGCAAACAAATGTCAATCTGGCTTCCAGAGTTTCTTCATTATCGCTGCAAAAGGCTCAGTGTAATGAGTACAAAACTTTCCTGCTGCAATAAAGTAAGGCTTTGGGGTGCCAATTGAAATAAATAAGTGGCTTTATTTGCAAAACTTTTGCCAAACAGCAGAAATGTTGTGTAATAAAATACACCAGTGTAACAGTGCTGAACGCTCTTACTTAGAAGTACCTGGATTCAATGGAAAACCGGAACAGAGGAAAACAACAACACAAACTTATTGCAATTTTAGAGTCCACACGTTCAGTGTATTCACTGTAACAACTGTAATGATTCTCAGTCAATTAGTTGTAGCTTCACAGCCACTCTACCTCAGGCCTTTTGAAAGGTTCTCGCTTCCCTCCTGTGCACCCCTGATCCTCGTTTCTCCTCTCGTTTCCAGTCGAGACCCACAGTGACAAGAAGTGTGCTTACGTGCACATTACCAGTGCAGGCTGCGAGGTTTAATTGAGGAAATTCTCACCTTACCTGAACGCACAGTTCCCATTTTGCTTCTCCGCCCCAGCCCTGCCCCACCACCCCCTAACCTGTGAACGAAGCAGACTCTCATTGTTCCACAGATTAGACTGACCCCCGATATTCAGAGATTGGACCATTGATTAAAAAAAAATCAATGAGTTAAAAAGAACGATGGGGCTTAATTCCTTACCAGAAAATCACTTATGTTCCTGTGATTTGTGGTCTGGGGAGAGAGCAAATGCTACAACAGATCAGCATGAACTATGACAAATTACACAGTGAGAGCAATAACAGTACAATTTGGCTGAAGATGTTTTGAACAATTACTCAATCAGCCATCAAGACCTTGTCTCTCCAACAATTCTCAGGTTGCTGATTGCTGAGATTCATTATATAAACGTAACGCCCACAAGACGAAATTGTCCGTAAACTGCCTAGGACAATAATAAACTTTTTTTTATATATATAATAAAAAGCTATTCACAACAAGTTACAATTAAAGTAATGTCTGTAATCTGCAGACTGATTATCCCAGGCTCGAGTTCTGGTGGTAGCACATTGTAAGAGAGTGTCAGGAGACTGCTCAATGCAGGGATCTCTGTATAGTATAGACAGGACATCAACGTAAACTTCATTAAACTATTCCATTCCTTTAAAACCACTTTAAACAATACACTATGAGCATGATGTCCAAACCAATTAAATGGTTATTTTCTCTCTCCTCCTCCTTCCCCCTTTTCCTCACAACTTCAATTTGGTCCGAGACCCAATTTGTAATCCTTCAATTGTGCTGAGTTACTTTATCTTCTCATCCAGCTGAGGATCGAGGGTCTCATTGGCAGGTTTGATGTCTGGTTGCCTTTCTGTTTTTTGATCAAAGTGGTATCTCAGCTTGGTTGGCAGAACCAGCAGCACAAGAAGACACACGATGTGACCGTAAAAGTACATCGATCTTAAAAACAAAACAAAAAATGTATAATTATTACAAAAAAATAATAAATTGTATTCAGCCGGCATCACCCACAACATTGCACAGAGTGTGCATTCCATTCTGGACGTGGAAATTTCCATGTGTAGGTGGGATACCCAAGTGGAGCTTTGACTGGATATTCTTAAGCATGGTGATGGGCTTCAATCCGTGTCAAGACGGTGAGCTGAACAAAAAAAATGGTCTCAACCTTGCCTACAGTCAGCCCCACCTCTATAAAGCGATTCAAGATGTTACTCCACACAATGGACTCAATATAATTGCTGTTAAGTTACTGTTGTTGCAGTACAGTTCTCAAAGGGTGAGGTCTGCAAACTGTCCGATGTCAAATACACTGAGCGACTCTGAAAGGGTTAGATATTGCTCATCAGGGAGCATGCTTCACTCAGTTTGGGATCAGCTCTCTTTTCAAAGAGCAGAATTCACAAAGCCTGAAAATGTGACAGGCAGCCAATTTGTAGCGTTGTCTTTGGGTTATAAATAGAAAGTGATTTTAGACCGTCCACTGGATTTTAAATCCAATTAAGAAGAAAGGAATTTAGAACAAGGCACCTCCTCCATACCTCAGTTCCACAACTAAGGTCAAAAATAAAGCACATTGAAAATTAATTTCCTTTAAAACCAAAATCCTATTTTCCCTACTAGCGGCCTGGAATGATAGAGCTTGTTTACACCAGAGTCAAACATAATCCACTTTGTAACTTTCACGGTAAAAGTGTAGAAATCTTTCCTTTTTTGAGGGGAAGTGGAGGGAAGGGAGAAATAATCTGCTAACGTATTTTAATTTACCAGGATTAAAATAACTAACTAACTCCGATAATAAGAATAATCCTTGCATTTGATATAGGTCCTTATCATGTCTTCGAGACGTCTCAAAGCGCTCCACAGAATATACTGTAAAGTGAATTGACTGTATATATTGTGGGCAAAACCCGTCAGCCAATTACGCACATCAGTGTCCCACAAACGTGGGATTGAGTGACCAAATTATTATTTTATTTATTTAAAATTCAGTGAAATAGAATAAGGACTTGAACAAAATTCCAACAAATATTACAGCAGTGAATAACATATTTTATATATAACGCCTATATAACTTTCTTGCTCCCCCTTAGTGATATCATCCACAGACGTGGGATCAATTTCCACATGTATGCGGGTGATACCCAATTCTACCTCTCTGCTCCACCTTTGATTCCAGGGCCACTGCTGTGCTAACAGAATGTCTGTCAGATATCAAGTCCTGGATGAGAGCTAACTTTCTTCAGTTAAACATCAACAAGACCGAGGCTCTCCTGATTGACTTCCGTCAGCGCCTCCTCACCTCAGGCGCTGACAGGATCACCATCCATGGTTGCACACTCCACCTTACTAAGCCAGTCCAGAACTTTGGCATCTTGTTGACCCTCAACTATCCTTTCTATCCTATATCTGCCATGACCTGTTCTGCTTTCCCCCACCTCCGCAACACCGCCCGGCTCCGCCATTGCCTCACCCCTCAGGCCACCAAAACCCTTATTCACAGTTATCACATCTAGGCTTGACTACACCAACTCCCTGCTTGCCAGCCTTCCCAACTCTTCCCTCCACAAGCTGTAGATCATCCAGAACTCTGCAGCTCATGTCCTCTCCCACACGAGGCGCTGTGACTCCATCACTCCCACCCTTGCCCAGCTCCACTGGCTTCCCATCACACAGAGGATATAGTTCAACATCCTGGTGCTCACCTTCAAAGCCCTCCATGGTTTTGCTTCCCCCCCAACTCTGCGACCTCCTAACTCCCTACCATCCTGCCCGCTCCCTCCGGCCTTTTTCATGTCCCCCGCCTCACTCGCCCCACCTTCAGCCACTCTGACCCCACCCTCTGGAACTCCATCCCGCAGTCCCTCCGCCTCACCCCCTCCCTTGCCTCCTTCAAGACCCATCTCAAGACCCTCCTTTTCGACTGTGTTTTCGATCGCCCTCCTTCTCCCCTGCCCTCCACCCTCCCCGATCCCAACCCCCAGCTCGGGCCTGAAACACTGTCTGTCCAGCGCCTTGGGACGTCCTTCCGACGTGAAAGGCGCTGTACAAATGTAATTTTGTTGTTGTTGTAAAAGAACAGGTTCCCCACTTACTTGTAGAATCGGATGGTGGGACCCACAGCCAGCAGCAGGAAAGGTGCTGCAGTGTAAGAGATGACCAATTGGGTGGTGGCCCATGTGGCAATGTCATAAGCAACTTTCTTTGTCTTGGAAGAAAGGAAGTAATGTCTGAAGTTTCTTCTCACCTGAAAGAGGGAGCAGAGGAGGAGTAGGAGGAGGAGAAGTAGGAGAAAGAGGAGGAGAGAAATCAAACAGAACCTTGGTCCAATGATTGAAGAATATAAAGCAATTAGTTATTATACTGATTAAGCTTGTGTACAGAGTCAATGAGGTTGGGGAGAGGTAATTAAATAATAACTAAAGAATCCTTGCATTTGATATAGCGCCTTATCATATTGTTGAGTCGTCTCAAAGAGCTTCACAGAATACACTGTAAAGTGAATTGACGGTGTATTTTGCGGGCGAAATGCGCTGCAAAAATTTTTTTGCAAAAGGACCTACCTGCCAAACACACTCTACTCAGACGTCAATCTCATTTCACTTCATGGTTGTTTGTGGGACAATGCTGTGCACATTGAAAGTTTGCCCACAAAACTCACAGTCGCTCCACTTTACAGTAAATCCTGTGAAGCACTTTGGGACGTCTCGACGATGTGATGTGGCGCAATTGGCTGCCGCGTTTCGCCCACAAATATATGGTCAATTCACTTTACAGTCTATTGTGTGAAGTGCTTTGATACTTTGATAAGACATGAAAAGCGCTATATCAAATGCAAGAATTATTATTATTATTATTATTATACCAAATACAAGGATTATTTCCAACTTTCAATGCGTCGGTCTGTTGCCACAGGAGGTGGCTGGCAGGCGGTCGTCTAATAAAAATGATGAATCGCATCTCTTCCTGCTGAACAGTGTTGTATTACTGCTAAATGCTGAATCAAAATATTGCTCATGTTCAGCATAGCGCAATATGTCAAAACGCTTCAAAGCACTTCACACACTGCGATACTTCAAGACGTACGATTTATGATGTATGATTTATGTAGGCAGAACGTGGCAGTTCATTTGAATAAGAAACGTCCCGAACAGTAATCAGATGAACGACTAATTGATCTGGTTTCTTTTTAGTGAATCTGGAAGAGGGATGAACGTCAGCCAGGATGCCAGGGGACCTCGGCAGTTCTTTTGTCAAAGTCGTGTCGTGTGATCTTCCATAACCATTAAACTTATCACAACAGGCGGACTGGACCTTAATGCAACATCTGATCAAAAGAACAGCACCTCCAACTGTACAGCACACTTTAGTTAATGCATCAGGTTACATTGTGAGCTCAAGCCCAGATGAGTGATTCAAACACACAACCTTCTAACCCAGAGATGAGAGTGCCTCAAAATATCTGCAAACACATGTTTTTTTTTGCAATCCCGAGGGATGATGTACTGCTGCCAGCCTGCAGCCTTCCTGAAGGTAGCCAAGGGTACTCACCGTTCTTGCTGCCATTGTGACAGGAATCGCAGTGATGAAAGTGAAGTAATAACCTGGGTACACTCCGTGCCACACAGCTGAAAGCATCAGTGTCAGAGGTATGCGGTAGTTGGAAAGTCGATCGTAACAGATGCTGAGGAAAACACAAATACGGGCAGTTTAAGATGAACACAGACTCTTAAGAGCTCTTTGGAATAATTCACTCTTGCTCCCTGAAACCACCTCAGCTCAAGAGAATATAATCACAATGTCACAGTCACTATAAATCCAATACATTTGTGATCTTTTCTCTCCATGGCTGTGACATCCTTTACATAATGAGGTCTCCATTCTGACTACCAACAATAACTACATCAGCTCCTGACACAAAATAATGATCCCTGCTTTTGAAATAGTGCCTTATGTGTCAGGAACTAAGTACTTCACAGAGATTTCTGCAAAGTGGAGTGATTGTGTTTTTACAATAATAATAATCCTTGTATTTGATATAGTGCCTTATCACATCTTCGAGACGTCTCAAAGTCCATCACAGAATATACTGTAAAGTGAATCGACTGTATATTTTGTGGGCGAAACAAATTTATTTTCTGGTAAATAAATGCTGGTAAACACCAGAATTTATTTTCTCTGGTTGGCTAGGACATCGGCAGAAACACACTTCTCTTTTTGAATAGTGCCATGAGATCTTTAATACCCATCTGACCAGGCAGACAAGACCTCAGTTTAATCCAAAAGACGGCACCTCCAACAATGCAATGCTCCTCCCAGCGCTGAATTAGAGTTTGAGTCTAGACTATGAGCTCAAAGGCCTGACATGGAGCTTGAACCCATAATCTTCGGACTCAGAGACAACCTGCTGAGCCAGTCTGACACAATAAAATCAGAATATGGCTTATCAGAAAATAGGAAAGGTGAATAACCTACACAATAATCTTTACCTCACCCCTACCAGAGTCCAAATCTCTGCTTGAGATGTGGTTTTGTAACATGCAACTTCCCTTTCACACCTTATTTGCAAAAGCAAATTATTAAAAAATATCTTTGCTGTTTGATGCAGGAGTATCGTGTTAAGAAAAGGGGATAGGAATGTATAACATGTCACCAAGTAGGTGATGCAACAAGAAACTATTTAGGGTTTCAAAGAGGAACCAGATACGTTCAGAAAACTGGACGCAGATTTGGAATTTTTGGTCTGGGAGGGAACAGTCTGGAACTCCATTTACAACACTTTGATGCCAACTTAGACTCAATAAACTGGTGTTATCATGTCACAGCACTTAAACAGGAAATACAAGATTAGCGAGCAATGGTGCTTGAGCAAGAAGACTTTGTTTTAAGTTTTGTAAATTAAGCAAATTGAATAAATAATAATAATCCTTGCATTTGATATAGCGCCTTATCACGTCTTCGAGACGCCTCACAGCACTTCACAGAATATACTGTAAAGTGAACTGATTGTACATTTTGTGGACGAAGCTCAGCAGCCAATTGTGCACAGCAGTGTCCCACAAACAGTCGTGGATTGAGTGACCATTTTTTTGAAGGAGTTATTACTCCCGGAAAAACGATTCACCAATCAACTGGGTTCCTACTTACAGCTAGGTAATCAGGGGCATGTGGAGTAAGAAAGCTTGCCCAACATTTCGCCCTGCCAGGAATCATCTAACCAACGTCTCTCGCTTGCAAGGCGAGTGCTCTAACCACTGAGCTACAGGGTTCCTCAGGAAGTTGCACAGGATTATTCAGGAAGTTGCACAATCATGACAGAGGAATTAAATCAAAGTTAGCTAAAGTCATATGGGGACACATATCCTGCCTTATTTGCAATACTCAGGTTATAATATACAATAAAACTATTAGTAACAGGTTTACAGGCCAGGTTAAATTTTACTTACCTCTTTAGCCAAAATAAAGTTTGAATGTTCCAATTGTCTAAACACATCTTAAAGCTCGTTGCAGTCTAGGAGTGGAAAACATGAAAAGAGTCAATAACCTGGAGAAAGAAAGTTTCCTATCAGTATCAAAGAGGGTGAAAAAACAAACTCCCTCCATAAGGTCTTCAGATACAGGGCACTCTCCATTTCAGAAACAATATGTTGTGCGCAAATTGGCATCCCCAAGGTCCAGTCTGCCATTGGCCAGGTATGAATCTGCAATCTTATTTCTACAGTGCAGTGTTTCTACTCACTAGACCACCAGAGGGAGACCTACACAACAGTACTGGGTGGTGTATTGGCAAGGCACTGTGAAGCTTGCTTTCTGGTTACAAGTAATCAAGGTGCTGCTGAAGAGCAAATTGGTTCTCAAGCTTGGAAAGCATTTGAGCACAGAGATGACAAAGAGAACCCTACAGGTTAGGTTCTGTGAAAATTCTTACTTGCAAACATTTGGCACAGCCTTACAGTGTGGGAGAACATTTCTGACATCGCGAAAATGACTATGTGCTATTATTATTTTACTCCTCTGTTCAAAATGATCTGATTTAAAATCCCATCTCAAAATCTCTGAATTTCATTGGCGCTGTCTTTGGGCTCCCATTCTGTCTCTGTAAAGCACAATGAAAAGTTTTCCTATGTGAAAGGTGCTATAGAAGTGGAAGTTGTTTTTCTTGATAGCTTCCAGCATTATTCAAAAAAAAGTACTTTTGCATCAGTCTAGAAATAGCACAATACGTGTCTGCTCCAGTTTTTACTTACATAGCTGATACAATCTCACAAACCTATGTAAATTCAAATCACACTCAGACACATAGGCAGATCAGATCAGATAATACTGCACAAAGGTGGAATTCTTTGCACTAGATGTCCACCAATTGTCCTGTTGGTTATGTGGCACAAGGTCTCAGCACTGAATCTTCAGACCAGGAGTTTATAATAAAAATAATAATCCTTTTATATGATATTGCGCCTTATTTGATATGGGTTACAGGTTTGGGAGGTGATCTCAGCTGGAGCAGTTGCTTGGGGCATTACAGTTGGGCTCAGCACCCTTGGGTTGGGGGTCGGGAGAGGTGGGTGGGAGAAATCATAGAGTAATAGTGATACGGCACGGAAACAGATCAATTGTTTCAATTAGTCCATGCCTGTGTTTATATCCCGCGCAAGCGTCCCTCATTTTCTACTACTCATTTCTGAGGGCAACCAAAATGATTGAGGGGATGGAGAGACTGGAACTAGGAGAAGCGATTGGATAAACTGGGCATGTTCACACTGGAGAAGAGAAGGTTGAGTGGCGATATGATTGCGGTCTATAAGATTCTGAAGGAAATAGATAAGGTAGAACACGATGAGCTGTTTTGTACAGAACAGTAGAACCAGATAACACGGCCTGCGATTGAAGGGGGGTAAATTCAGAAACAAATCTGCGGAAACACTACTTCCGTGAGCGACTGCCAGTATGGTAGAAGGTGATCTAGGTGGACCTTGAGTCTTCTTTCGCCTAGCAAACTTATGTTCTTATGCACTTCAAGGGGATCTATTTTGCACTAGGTGTAAACCACATGTAAATGTACTAATCTCATGTATACAGAGGGATTTTCAGATATTATTAATGCGACAGCCTGGCTCAGTTGGTAACATTCCACTTAGCGCCTGGAAGCCATATATTCGAGGCTGACACTCCATTGCAGTGCTGCGGGTGTGCTGCATTGTCAGAGGTGCTGTTCTTTGTATGAGAGGTTAGACCAAATCCCGTCTGCCTGTCCAGGTGGACGTTGAAAGATCCTACGGCACCACTCAAAAAGATAAGGGAGGTTCTCCTGGTGTCATGGCCAAAACTGCTCGAATAAAATTGGTCATTCACACCATGGCTGTTGGTGGGTCATTGCGGTACGCAAACTGCTGCATTCACCTACAAATACACAGTCACTCCACTTTACAGTAAATCCTGTGAAGCGCTTTGGGATGTCTTCCCAACGTGAAAAGCCTCCCAAATGCAAGGATTATTACAACAACAACAACAGCAACAAGATTCCATTTATAAAGCGCCTTTCACGTCAGGAGGACGTCCCAAGGCGCTGCACAGTTGGGTCATGACCCGAGCAGGGGGGGAATGGTCAGGGTGAGGGGAGGGAAGGGAGGGAGCGAGGAGGGGGGAAATGGTCAGGGTGAGGGGAGGGAAGGGAGGGAGCGAGGAGGGGGAAGAGAGTCGAGAGGAGAGCTGAAGGCTCGGTCAAAGAGAAGTTAATAACATAATAAGAATAATAACAATATTATTATTGTTGTTATTGTTTAAAAATTTAGATCTACCACTAGGCATCTCATATTTATACCTACTCATTTTGGCCTCTCCAAGAAGTGGAAACAGCACATCGACATCTACCTATCGACTCCTTTCATAATCTTAAATACACAGGCAGGGATCCTGCTTCTGATCACTATCCAGATACAAGGTGCTGGAGGATTTGCATGTGTGAGGACAGGATCGAGCTCGGCTGTGATAACAAGGCAATCAAATAGCTTGCCAACATCGGCTCACGCATATGGAAGAACAGCAACTGGGACCAGGTAATGGAGTGTGCCTGGCACTCGTACCTCAGCTAACAGAATTCAGTAACCATAATAATGAAAAAAAATCCTTACATTTGGTATAGCGCCTTTCAGGTCACGATATCTCAAAGCGCTTCACAGGATGTAACGTAAAGTGTAGTGGCTGTATTTGGAGGTGAATACCAGCTGCCAATGCCCGAGAAACAGCTGTTAGGTGAGTGACTAATTTTATTTGGGGGGATTGTTGACACTGGGAGAAACTCCCTTCTCTTTTCAAGTAGCACCACGGGATCTTTAATGTGCGACTGGAAAGGAGGATGGGGCCTTAGTTCAACCCCTCAACTGAAAGATGGCACCTGTAACAATGCAGCACACCCACAGGACTGCACTGGGGTGTCAGTTTGGATTGTGAGCTCAAAGACTCAATGTGGGGCTTGAACCCGAACCTTCTGACCCAGATGTGAGATTTTACATAGTATTGTGGCAACAGTTAACTATTTCACAAGCAACAAGCTTACCTCCAGTATAAAGATAATTAATTGGCCATACGCACTGAATTATTTACAAAACAAATTTCCCCTGAACCGTTCAGTTTCGTTTGCGTAACTCACAGTAGAGGCCAAAATAGTCATATTTGGAAACAGAAGCTGGAGAGAAATGTCACTTACGCAAAGGGAGATTTTGCAATTTTATAATCCTTTAATGTATCAAGATTTAATCCTTCTCTGTCTGACGAAGCCCTCCGTTTATCAGATTGCAACTGTAGAGGTGCAACTACAGCAGCAAATAGAAGAATCAACTCAACTGGTAAAGTTTGAAGGAATCCCAGCCCCTGCTCTTTCCTATGTACATTAATATTTAGGGATTGCATTTAGATGGTTTGGTTTCAACTAACATGGCGCAGTCTTTCGCAACTGATTTACACAGTGTACAGTTTATGCAGGGATCTTAGACCACATTTGCACACTATAACACTCACCTCAATATTCCAAATGTTTAAGTTTGAGATCAAGTCCCAGCGAAAGTTGCCATTTTCATCAATCCCATTGAAACCATAGCCAGCAGCATTGTTGATCGCATCGGCTAAAAGAGAAAAAGGGAAGCAAATAGCCCTTATTGATGATTGTCTACTCAAGCATTAAAAACAGAATATCTAGATATGCAATTGTAAGTTCATGAGAGTGGAAACAATCCAAATGTTCAAGATGCCAGTCAACACAACTGCATTGGAGAAGCACTGAGGTGCATGTCTGCACAATGAGCATTTTACTGCTAGGATCTGTGGAGTAGGATCAGGAAATACCAATTCGATTCTTTCCTCTCTCTTCCCCCTCGCCCCCATCACCACCATGAACACTACCAGTGACACGTCGAGGAACTGGGAGGAATTGGGAGGAATTGTAGTTCATCTCGAGTTGTCTATTTATGTGATGCTTAGCATGCTACTTTGTTGTGAACCTTTACTGTGAACCAGAACAGAAAAAAAAGGATTTCTTGCATTGATATTGGACTTTATTTTTATGTGGCTGCTTTCACCCTGCTCCTGACGTATCAGGTCACCTGCTATCTTCAAGCACTTTTCACTCCACAGTGAAGCAAAACCTTCCTAAGCAGTATTAGGTCACAGCTCCATTGAATTGGGTAGAAATTCCACCAATGGTCTCGATTATAGAGCAGTGCAACGCTGTGTACAAATTGCCTTTCGCATTCACCTACAAAATAGTCACTACACTTTACAGTAAATCCTGTGAAGTGCTTTTGAGATGTTTTGACAATGTGATAGGTGGTACGACCAATGTAAAGATTATTATTATATTTCAGAGCATTCAGAATTTAACAAATTCTTAAATACATGTTAAATTTTGAAGCTGATTTATCTGGAAGTTATTTAAACATATTTTTAAAAAATGGCTTTAAAGTTAAGATCAAATTCAATGGAGGCAGAATGCATAAAATAAAATAACCTTGACTCTTTTGAGTAATAAACACCATCATAGACTAGTTGGGCCAACTAGCCTTTTCAGTGCTGTACATTCTTTAGAAATTGGTAAAGATGATAAATGATGAGTAAGATGAGTAAATCTGGATCCTGGTGGAATTTCCCTCCCCCAAATTTTGTAAAGCCTAAAAGATTAATATTTGAGCTCTCTAAATCTTGTGGGCGTGTGAAAGATGTGAGAAACCATGTGACTTGAATGAAGATACAAATGTTCTCTGAGCACTAAAATATAATAATAATCCTTGCATTTCATAGAGCCTTATCACATCGTCAAGACATCTCAAAGTGCTTCAGAGGATATACTGTAGAATGGTGTGACTGTATGTATTTTACAATAATAATAATCCTTGTATTTGATGTAAAGCCTTATCACGTCTTTGCAATGTCTCTAAGTGTTTAGCAGAATACACTGTAAAGTGAATTGACTGTAATATTATGTGGGCAAACACGGCAGTCAATGTTCGCACAGCAATGTCCCACAAACAACTATGGAATGAGGGACCAATTTTATTTGGGATTTGTTGGCCAGGACACCGTGGGAAACTACCTTCTCTTTTCAAATAGTTCTATGGGATCTTTACCATCCATTTGAATAAGCAGATGGGCCCTGGTTTTAACGTCTTATCCGAAAGACGGCACCTCCAACAATGCAGCATGTCCCAGCACTGCATTGGCGTGTTATCCCAGATGATATGGGTTAAAAATCCCAATATGGGGCTTGAACCCACAACCTTCTAACTCAGGAGGCGAGAGTGCTACCAACTGAGCCAGGCTGAAACACACACACACACACACAGACACATTTGGAGGAAACTGAAGATTACTGTAAATTACCACACTGATACAAAAACCTCCAAAAGTTGCCAACGTTTTACAAATCATTCCTTTCAAAACAGTCTTTCAAACTTTTTGCTTCTTTTCATTAGGATTACAATATCATACAGGAAATTCCTCTTGGAAGGAAAAAAAATTGGTTACTCACTTCAATTTTTTGTAAACATTTCAATGTAATAATTTACAGTTGGAATTAAATTAGACATTGCTAATTAGATACTATCAAATTTGACCCTTCCCCCAGACCCAGACCTGGTACAATCTAGTCTATTGTATACCCGATCCCTCCCATAACCCTCCTCAGGGCAAACTTTGCATAAAGTCAACAACAACTCCCATTTCTACAACGTCATTCACATAAAAGAACATCAAAGCTCTTGACAAAATGAAGTGACAGACATGGAGAGATTTGAAGCTGATCAAATGCAGAATCAAAGAGATACTATAATTATAAGGAGGATTTTGAAGCCAGGAAGAGAGGCAAGATCAAGTTAGGTCTAGAGGAGGTTTCCAGAGGACAGTGCACAGTGGGCTACAGACCACGCACAAACAGAGAAGCAAAGAGTGATGATGGACCATACCTCACAATATTCCTCCATCCCAATACCTCCTCCAGGCACATGTATGCAGATGACACCCAAATTTACTTCTTTTCCTCCAGCTGCGACTCCCAGTCCGCTGATGTCCTGTCAGCTTGTTGGACAGACATCAATGCCTGGATGAGCGCAAATTTCCTGCATCTGAATGTCAGCGAGACAGAAGCCATGTGGGTCTGAACTCTTCAACCTCCCTGGGCTCTCCCTCAGACTCATTGAACCCGTGTACAATTTAGGCGTCAGGTTCGATCCCCAGCTTTCCTTTCTACCCCACGTCCATTCCCTGACCAGAACCGCTTTTTTACAACACAATCACATTGCCCGCCTCGTCTGTACCTCACAACAACAACAACAAGATTACATTTGTATAAATTGTATAAACGGAGAGGACGTCCCAAGGCACAACCAAAGCAGCCAAAACTCTCGTCCACACCTTCCTGGCCGGACTATTCCAATGCCCTCCTCGCTGGTCTCCCCAAGTCCACGTTACATAATATTCAAAACTCTGCCACCCACACAAAACTCTGTACCCCCATCACACCAGTCCTTGCCAGACTCCACCGGCTCCCAATTACCGCACAGATCGATTTCAAGATCCTCTCACTCGTTTTCAAATCCCTTCATGCCCTCATACCTCCCTACCTTTCTGACCTGCTTAGCCTCCTACCGCCCCCAACTCCACCACGCACTGCCACTGGACTCCTGTTTGTTCCTCATCCCCTCCATCCCACTATCGGTGGCCATACCTTCAGCCACTACCCCCCAAAAATTTGGAACTCTCTCTCGCAATCCCACCGCCTTGCCCCCTCTCTCCCCACGTCCAAAACCCGCCTGAAGACCTTCCTTTTTGATCGTGCTTATGGTCACCTCCCCTCTCCCTCTCTCCCTGGCTTGGGATCAGACTCCGCCACTGTCAAGCGCTCCTGGACGTCACCCCACGTGAACAGCGCTATATAAATTGCTGTTGCTGCCCCACCCCTCCTCTACCCCACACATTGGGTTACGTCCCCTTTCCTCCAATAAACAAATTCAACTTTGCGTAGCTCTACACATCAACTGGGTCCTTATAAGCGCTACCCAGCCTGATGGGCGCCATATAAATGCAAGTTGTTGTTGTTGATGTTAGGGTTGATAAATTTCTACTGTTGAAAGCAGCAAATCAGTGCAAGAGCAACTGCCGCTGATGTAAACTGGGTATGCAGCGGGGAATCCACTATTCCTCACAGTTCCTGGTTATCCACATCATAGCTTATTTTCCTAAGCTAATGTGTCACTCCTCCTTGGTTTCCTTGGCTGACCAAAACAGATCAGAGGCCCTGGGCTGCAAGATGGGGAGATCTGTAACTGGACTCACAAATAGAGATTCCTACTGGAATAAAGCGCGATGACGTAGGTTGACATGACCACCATAAACTGCACCATGTACTGCCAAACAACAAAATAATAATAATTTGATCGTTCTATCCACCACTGTCAGTGGGACACGGCTATGCACAATCGTCTGCCGTGTTTTGCCCACAAAATATACAGTCAATTCACTTTACAGTATATTCTGTGAAGCGCTTTTGACGTCTCAAAGGCGTGATAAGGCGCTATATCAAAAGTGCAAGGATTATTATTTCTGTAAACAGAATGACAGTCATGCTTTGTTGGAGATATTGCATTTTGGAATAAACTTCTTCCTCTGTAGTTGAATGATTCATGAAACTAAAGGCGGCGATTTCGTGCCACTTGAGTTAGTGTTAAAAAAGCCGCAGTATAGAGTGATTAAAAGGCATGAGAGGAAACACATCACTTCAACTCTAACCTAAAGTCCATGCAAAGTAGTACTTTGGCCTGACGGCGTTGATTGAGATGATCAGATAGCTGATTCTGGAGAAGAACGAGGCTTCACGCACAAAGTTCTCATCACTGACATACGAGATGGGAAATTTCTTCGAAATGCTCAAAAACAGAAGTGCACACACAACTGTGATAGCCACTTTTTGCACTACAGCTCTCTGGAAAAGTACAAAGAAAAAAAAACACAGAAAGTAGGTGAGGTTTTCATGGAATCCAGCATATTCCTACCACAAGTGACTTAAGCATTTGGATATAGGACAAAACAGCAAGTTTAAAGGCACAATTTAAAATCAAGTTTTTTTTGTCATAGGTTCAAAAGCAGTGAGGGAAGAGGTTATTGGTGGAGGCAGGCAATGTTGCGGAGGTAGGGGAAGGCAGAAAGGGACATGGCAAAGAACGCAAATTGAACGCAAATTGTTTTAATTTGATATCAACGCATGTGGCATTCAAATGTTCAAATGTACTAACAATGTAATTGGTTTTAAAACAATAGTTCTTTAGATATGGAAATCTCTGCCATAGATCGGCACTTGGGTGCTAGCATTCGGGTCAAGTCAATCAACAGGTTCTTCAGCCAATGCATTTGGTTAGCCATGTAAACACTGAACTGTCAAATAAAGAAAGTGGAAGTGATATGTTAAAACGTAAATCTTAGTTAGAGAGCTTGTTATTCTGGTGTCTCCCATTGAATGACAGACCGAGTGGGAACATCACATGTTCCACTTTCATAGTTTTCAAGGAGCATCTTGGGATAACAGGAGCTTTTCCTTCACTTCAAAGCAGCAGTAAACTAAAGATGATTGCTGGATTATTTGTCCAATATAAAACAATCTAAACCTTCCGGATTAATAATATCTGAACTATATTCTGTTCTTGTTGCAGGTTCCCTTCAACAAAGTCTGCAATTCCCCCATAAACCCACTTTTCATTTGGGATAGTGGCATTCCCTAAACATTCTCTCTCACTCAACCCTGCCAACTTCTCCTCTATACGTACCAATGGAGAAGGATCTGGGAGTGTTCTATAGCCTTTTTTTTTCCAGTTAATTTCCAGCAGCTTCATGTTTATATGGCTTCCTTCAATAAAAGCAATATAGTCCTTGTAATTACTAGTAGGCCCAGCCAAAATACTTAGAAAATTCAGATGGTAGCTGCAATACTGTAGAAAGGTAGGCCTTACTCTGTAAATAGAAGAAAATGGGGGAAGAAAAAGAGAAATTAAATTAAATTTAAGAAAGCAAGCAACGGCTTTGGGGTCCATTCGGTTACTTATTTGTAATTGGGAGCAGTGAAACGTTCACTAGTTTTGTGATCCAATCCATTCACTGGAGAGCATTCTATCTTGGGTTAACATAGGATCTTGTGGAGAACTGGGTCACAACCTATCAAATGAGAAGCACGGCTCTGAGGATTCCAACACAGCCAACAAATGGTGGATCCTCTGTGAATTGGATTAGAAAAAAAAGAAAAAAAGATGAAAGTTAACGCCACCTCCTCCCCAGCACCGTAGCCATTCCAAAAATAAAAAATAAAATAATTTGGCCACTCAATTCACCACTGTTTGTGGGATATTGCTGTGCGCAATTGGCTGCCGCGTTTCGCCCACAAAATTAGACAGTCAAATTCCCTTTATAGTATATTGCTTGAAGCGCTTTGAGAAGTCTCAAAGACATGATAAGGCACTATATCAAATGCAAGGATTATTATTATTATTATAACTATAACCGAGATATAGATTGTTCCACCAGACTGTTGCGTCATATTTTGGTTCCTGTGAAAGCAACCACCTCTACTTAGCAACCGCCTGCTATCAACCACCACTCTGGAACAGTCCTGATTGATCTAAACACAGGTGAATTTTTTTAATGTAGTAAGGTGTCAACAAAATCCTTACAAAAGGCTGCTTTAGTTGTCCCGAAAGTGGTTACTGAAAACAGGTTTGACTGTACATCTCATTTTCTACGATGGGATCTATTTTGCACCATGTGCTAATCACATGTGTCCAGGGGGATTAGTAGATGCTGTTAATGGGGCAATTTACAGCCAATTCTAGGCAGCTGCAATTCTCTCTCTATTGCTTATCAGCCTGGCTCAGTTGGTAGCATTCCCGATTGGAGTGTATATAATGGAATGCACACTCTCTCTCTGGAGGGACACACCCTGCTTACCTAATTCCCGAATGTTTCGGGCACTGGTTGTCGAGAATGTGAGTTGGGGTATTTTTAGGGTTTAATCCAAACTGAATTCTGGATTCTTAAATTCTACCTTAATTTGAAAACCTTTTCTGCCGTTCATAAAGACCTTTCGAAAACCGGCTTCCAAATTAAGGCAGAATTGAAAGCATTTCCCCAAATTCTGCATAATCTTATATTTTAAGACAATGGACCAAGAGAATTTCTAGGTTGCAGATGTCCAAATGCAGGCATTTTCTAACAGAAATCACATCAGGAAGTATTTCTATACACAGAGACTAATACACCCTTGAACTTGTAATCAGGAACAGTGGTTGATGGATGTTGGACTCAATTAAGAAACAGCTTAACGTTGCAGTGGAAGAAAGCATTGTGAAAAGATGAGATCAGAAGGACTGGAAGGTTTTCTTAGGGGGCCAGTTTAGTTTACAATTGTACAGCTCCTAAGAACATGGGATATTTCAGGCCTCAAATATCAGGCATGAAGTCTTCCTCAGTACAAAGCGATTTGGTGACAATGATAGAATAGGAATAAACAGATATTAGGACCCAAGCTGTGATCGACAAACTTGAAAGAAACCTTTTATAATAATAATCCTTACATTTGATATAGCGCCTTATCATGTCTTTGAGACATCTTAAAGCGCTTCCCAGAATATACTGTAAAGTGAATAACTGTATATCTTGTGGACGAAACGCGGCAACCAATTGCGCACAGCAGTGCCATACAAACAGTCATGGATTGAGTGACCAAATTATTATTTTGTTGTTTTGTTTGACGGGATTATTACCCCCCGCCAAAGCTATTCACCAATCGATTAACTTTTAAATCTGTTGTCAATTAAGTATAAATTTGGAAGTCAACTCATAAATTTGGAAGTCAACTCATAAATTTCTTTTTCCTACCTAACAGCAACGCGACTCTGTTCTTTAGTAAGATCCTCTTCTTTTCGTCCCATCCCTATTGGAAATTGAAAGAAATATATCAGTGGAAAATAGAAGATGCAAAGCACATTTATAAATACTGAGACACAATTCAAATTAATAATGCCTGGTATTGTACATGTTAACTTGATAGGTTTCTGTCCATGGGCTGGGGAACAGAGAACCCCTAAATGAAAGCTGCACAGCTTACAGCATTAGCTGACAAAAATCAACCACCAATCCAAACAAAATAAAACATGAAATTGATGTATCTGACTACTCCACTGCCAGATAAAGTAACCAGACACACCAATAATGATTTTCAAGTCCTGAAACAATTGGCTCAGTTAATAGCACTCCTGCTCAGAGTATGAAGGTTGTGGATTCAAGTCTCATATCAGGATTTTCAGCTCATAGTCTTGGCTTGGGGTGTGCCTCATTGTTGGAACTGCATCCTTCAGATGAAACATTAAACCGAGATCCCGAGGTGGATGCTGAAGGTCCCATGGCACTATTTGAAAAGAGAAGGGAGTTTCTCCCGGTGTCTTGGCTAACAATTCCCCATAAGATTGGTCATTCACTTCATGGCCTTTGTGGGACAATGGTGCACAGGTACACTGCCACATTCATCTACATTTACAGAGAAGCCTTAGCAATGAGCTGACATCAGTGCAAGTATCATTCTATTAAAATTGAGGCACTGATTTTGAAAGTTCAGTTTGTTTCCCTAAATTTATTTAAAATTATGTTAAAGCAGTTCTGAACGCGTGGCTGCCCACTGGAGTTACATGTGAGAGCAAACACCAAGACTGAAGGCAGATCCAAAATGACAGACACAATGTTAAAAGCTGAGGTGTATAATAGTGGAGCAGTGAGGGTTAAGGTGTATCATGGGTAGGGATTGGCAGTTGAGGTGTATAATCTCAATCGCCTACAAAATATGCAGTCAATTCACTTTACAGTATTTTCTGTGAAGCACTTTGAGACGTCTCAAAGATGTGATAAGGCGCTACATTAAATGCAAGGATTATTATGCAGGTGCAGGAGGAGGAGCAGTGGGAATGCTGAGGTGTACAATGGGGGAAGTAGTGTGTGATGACAGAGCAGCACACAACAAGCTCCCCTTCACCTCTTCGGGTACTTCTTTTAGTTGTGAACTGGCAAATGAAATTGAGTCAACTTTCCATTCTACATTTTTACGTAAAAAAGTTGTTGTTTGAATTACAGCAACTTGAATTTCAGGTTATGTCAGTGTGGCAGCACATTGCAAAGCTTGAAAACCAATCTCGTTTTAAGCTAAATCTCTCTTGTGGCTCGTTCAAGCTAATTATTGCGTGTCTGACCATGATAGTAATTAACAGTATTTCAATAGAATTTAATTATAGTTCAACAATACCACAAAAAAGGCTCCAATATTATGTCAGGAACCTGGTATAATTGAAGATTCCTTGAATTTCCCACAAACATAATAATCCTTGCATTTGCTAAAACACCTTTCATGTCGGAAGGACATCTTAAAGCACTTCACAGAACTCACTGTAAAGTTCAGTGACTGCACGTTTTTCAGTCTTTGTTTAATAGGGACCAGTGCGAGATACAAATGCACGACATGAAAGGCTCTATACAAATGTAATTTTGTACTGTAAAGGAATACGATAGGGACCAATGTTAGATACGGAGTATATAATGGGGACAATTGTGAGGTACAGAGATTTGTATTTTGAATATTTCAATTGTACTTGAAGTTCACCTACAAAATACAGTAACCTTGTGAGACGTAATGAATTTCCCAGCACAACTATAAATGTATCATTATTCCGCATATGTACAATATGTACGTCAGTATGGCTCAGTTGGTAGCACTCTTGCCTCTGAGTCAGAAGTTATTGGCTCAAGCCACATGTTGGGATTTGGAACTTATATAGTCTACACTGAAACTCGAATGCAGTGCTGGGGGTGTGCTCCATTTTTGGAGGTTCCTTTCTTTGGATGAAATGTTAACCGAGATCTTGTCTGTCTTTTCAGATCCAGGGTACTATTCGAAAAGAGATAAGAGTTTCTCCCGGAGCTCTGGCCAGCAATCCCCCAAATAAAACTAGTCATCACTTTACGGCTGTTTATGGGACATTGTTATGTGCCTTGTTCACCCACCAAACATATAGTTGCTACAGTTTACAGTATATCCTGTGAAGTACTTTGAGACGTCCTTCCGATGTGAAAGACATATATAAATGTAAGGATTATTATTATTTTATAGGTTACTTGGTAAATCTAATTAAAATGCATCAAATGCAAGGATTATTATTATTATATTATTATATTATTATTATAATTTGATAACTTTCCCAAACCTTCCTCAACCTTTAAATATAACCTTGGCCAATTATGCCTCTTAAAATCTGATAACACATACGTTTTGTTGCCAAGAACAGTATCACCAAAACAAAACATTGGCAGTGCATCAATTTTGTAACCTGAATAAACTTAAAGCGGCTGTTTGTAAAGGCATATTTGTCAGCCTATTTGTCGGTTGGTAGTATTCTCTGAAGGCAGATGGTTGTAGGTTCATACCCTACGTCCAATAGTACAATAGTACTGTACAGTCACTACTCTCAGACTTGGGTTCAAATGCGTTTGAATGCAAATGCCCTATAATGTTACCAATGCAAACCAAATGCTTCCTTCTTTAGCTGCATTGAAATGCAAATCCAAATGTGTTGTCTCCAAATGCATTTACAAGTACATATAGAATGCTGGTTTAATGATTGAATAGAAAGCACCACTAACAACAACTTGCATGTATATAGCAAGTTGTACCCAGCGTAGCGTCCCAGAGCGCTTCTTGTGGTCACAAAGTTTTTGGTACAAAAGCATTGTGACGTATATCTGAGTGTGATTGTGTTGTGACTAAATGCCACCTGTCACCTGAAGTATCAGTTATTTGGATTTCAATGCAGATGCTTTTAGATTTGGACCCAAGTCTCCTTTACAATCCACAAAGTGCTATGAGGCGTTTCGATGACGAAATAAGGCCACTTTCAACTGTAAGGATTGTTATTATTAGAGAAAAGAAAGGCTTTCTCTTCTACTGTGCCTATAATCACCTTCCCACTCCCCCCAGCTTGGCCTCGTGCTCCGCCCCAGTCAAGCGCTCTGCGACACTACCCTGCACGAGGAGCGCTATATAAATGCAAGTTGTTATTGTTGTTGAGAGCATTCCCTTTCTATCTGGCTAATAATAAGGTCTAACACCTGGTATTCATAAATAGGAGTCACAGTTGCTGATAACTAGATGTTTGTCATTGCAATCTGACACAATCTACTGTTGGAGCTACTAATACAGCTGTGGTTACCAGTTAGTGAATCCTGCTACAAGTATCATGTTTTCACTGGTTGGTGCAAACACAAAGGAAAACATTTGCTCTTGTGACAGTTTTTTTTGCTGTCCCATGGGTCCAGTGGTTGTTTTCAACCCTCATCTCATGAGAGGTCACAGAAACCATTAACAATGATCCAGCACAAGAGTGAAAACGTAGCACACATTGCAGTAGGATGCTTCCCTCTCAACGAACACCTCTTCCAGACTCAGAGGCTGGAGAGGTAGCTGGTAGCTGAGAGGTAAATAATCCTTAAACAATAATTCTTACATCCCAGGTCCACCGATACTCTGTACTCTTGTTGTCAGGCATCAAGGCCTGAATGAGGGCCAACTTTCTGCAGCTGAATGTTGACGAGACAGAAGCCATACTCCCTGGCTCCCATCAACATCTTTCCTGCGGCTCTGACCTTCTTAACCTCCCCGGCCTATCCTCCAGACTTACCAAATCTGTGTGCAACCTAGGTGTCAGGTTTAATCCCCAGCTGTCTTTCCTATCCCACATCCCATCCCCAGCCACGACCGCTTTTCTCCACCTCATTGTCCTCATCCCCAACAAAGCCGAAACCCTCAATTTTTCCAGTGCCCTCCTCGCTGGTATCCCCAGCTCCGCTACTCATAAAATCCAATTAATTCAAAACTGCCGCCAGCATCCTCACTCGCACCAAACTCCGTACCTTGATCACCCCAGTCCTTGTCAGGCTCCACTGGTTCCCGATTGCAGAATGGATCGATTTCAAGATCCTCAACTCATGCATGATTCATTTCATGCCCTGACACCTCCCGACCACTCTGACCTGCTTATACCCCACTCCACTAACTACCTGCTTTGCTCAATTTGCTACGTTTTCCTGCATGTCCCTTGAATCTTTCACTTCATACCACTGGCAGCCTTCAGTGCTTTCAAGTCACTGCACCCCAAAACTATGGAACGCTCTATGTCAATTCCTCCACCTCGCTGGTCTTCAGATCATGCCTGAAGACCTTCCTTTTTGACGATGCCTATGGTCACCTTCACCTGTCCCTGGCTCAGCATCAATCTCCACAACTGTTAAGTGCTCTGAGATACTACCTTGTGTGAAGGTATAAATGCAAGATGTTGTTGTTATAATAATAATCTTTACATTTGATATAGCACCTTATCATGTCTTCGAGAATATACTGTAAAGTGAATTGACTGTATGTTTTGAGGGTGAAACGCAGCAGCCAATGTGCACAGCAGTGCCCCACAAACAGTCGTGGATTGAGTGACCACATTTTTTCTTTTTTTTAAAAAAAAGGGATTATTACCTCTGGAAAAGCGATCTGCCAATCGACTACCAACCAGCAGGTCACTTAATACTCACTATTGTGAGCTGGGGCTCTCAGGCAGTGGTACAGAACAAAGAAATCTCACCAGCCCACAAAAGTAAAGAGAGACTTATTTATTGTATTTATTCTAAAGTGTCGTGACTATGTATTTTTTTTAATAGGCGAACATGGTCGACAATTTGCACACAGAAATGTCCCACATACAGCCATGAAGTGATGACCAATTTTATTTCAGGATTTGTTGGCCAGGATATGGGAGAAACTCCTTTGCCTTTACAAATAGTGCCATGGGATCTTTAACATCCACCAGTACCTCACTTTAAATGTCTCATTTGAAGGGTGACACCTTCATCAACACACCTCTCCCCCACACTGCATTGGTGTATTAGCATTGACTACAAGTTCAAAGTCCCAGTATGGGGCTTGAACCTACATTCTTCTGACTCATAAGCAAGATTGCCATCAACTGAGCCAGTTAACACACACACAACACACACAGAGGTAGGACCGGCTGGGAGGGCAGTGTGTTGCCATAACTGCATTATTCAGTGGAGAAGTTGAGGGATGGGGAAAATAAGGCGTTAAATGTTCCACATCAACCAAAAGTTCCAAAGAGTTCCAGAAGTATGGAAACAGGCCAAAAGCTGTGCACAACAGCTGCTGAATGTAAAGTTAAATTCCAGCTTGCGTTCTGTTCTTCGAAATGTCAAACTCGGCGAATGGAAGAACTTGAATTTTAAAAGCGTCTTATGCCGAAATGACTCAAAACACTTCACGGAGAATTATTGTCAAGTGCAGTTGGGGGAGAAGGTTATTTGTGAGCAAACATGGCAGCCATTTAAGACAGCGAAGTTCAACAAACTGCTATGAAGTGAATGAACAATTAATCTGGAGGATTGTTGCCCAAGATCATAGTCTGTGATTCCCATACGGCTTCCCCCTATGTATTCTTGTAACGTGAGCCAACTGAAGGGGAGCATCCTGCCAGAACTGGAAGCTTAGGCTCTTGTAATCGAGCGCAAATCACAATTCCAGCCACACTAACTGCACTGATGTCACCTCTGCCATCAATTAAAACCTAAACCTATATTTGATGGCAGGTCACTTAATATTCGCGATTGTGGGCGTTACAGAACAAAAACATCTAGCCAGCCCACATTCTAATCATATTCCTTGTTCTTTGAGATGACAACTCAAAATCGCCAAAATATCTCAAATCTCAAGTGCATAATTATGGACAAATGCAGTAACTGGTTTTGTTGGCAAATGTGGCGATAATTAAGTGAATATTGTCCAGAGCATTGCTGGCGCGGAGAAACTCTTCTGTTTTTGAATTTATGCCGTTTGAATCTTTAGCATCCACCTATACTATCCACCTCTCCACCATTGCTCGTTCATAAATCCTGAAGCAGAAATGGCTTTGGTCGAGAAAGAGAGGTCAGTGATTGGGGGGAAAAAAAACAGCAAACTACAAGGCTGCCAGGAAAACTATTTAACAGCAGCCAGCACCTGTCGACATACTTCAATCCGAGAGCCACATAAGCTCAAGACGTCTCTGGAAAACGTAGATGTGAGCAAACAAGGGCGAGCATCAGGAAATCATGCCAAAGGATATAAATCGTCTGTTCAGCACCACCCATGAGTGCTCCTTCCGCTAAGAAACCAGAAATAACCTGCAGTGAAGAAGCAGTAGAGCCTGGGGAGAGAGATGAGTTATTTGCTAAGAGGCCAATAAAGAGGAATTCTTTTCAAGTAATATTCCACAATTGAGAAGGTTCATTGAAAAGTGAATATTTAATTCCAGATCAGACCTGGGGTTTGTGAGAAGACTGAAGGTGACAAAATGTAGCAGAAGAGTCAAGAGCAAGGTTTTTTCCAGAACGAATGTAGAGGTTGGCCAAAAAAAAATGCCTGTCCATTCCTTGGATAATATAATGTAATATAATAATCATTGGGGAGGATAGATAATTATTTAGGGAGGACAAGCTTGCAGGGTTATGGAGAAAGCGGGGGAATGGGATTGCTTTGGGTAGATCTTTTCAAAGAGCCGGCACAGACACGATGGGCCGAATGGCCTCCTTTAGTGCTATATAATTCTATGATCCTATGATTGGATTTAATATAGCATCCATAACATCAAAGGTACGAAACGGGTAATGCTGTCAATCAGATTGTATTTATAGGCAACCAACCACACAGCATATGTGCCACAAACAGGCGGGAACTAATTGACCAATTTATCTTGGTCACGTTAGTTTGCCGGAACACCAGGAAATTACACTGCAAAGTTGTTACTGCAATTTTTGAGCATGCACAAATTGCCTGCTCATTTGCCTAATAAACAGATTCACTGGGGTGTTCTCCTGGTATGAAAGACGTTACATCAAATGCAAGGATTATTAATAGGATTTATATATTTTACATAAATAATGCTTTCTGTATTCTCACTGGGGTTGCTCTTTGTAAGGTCTGACGGAAAAAAATAAGGAAACTGGCAACAGATGAGATCGAAGGGAATCTTCTACAATATTCAAGCTTATGTNGGGGGGGCGTGGATTTAAAAAAAAATGTCCCACAAACTCATCTGTACAAGGGTTTTCCAGGGTGGGTGGCTAAAGATGTCTTCGCGACGTCTCAAAGCGCTTCACAGGTTATACTGTAAAATTAATTGACTGTATATTTGTGGGCGAAATGCAGCAGCCAATTGCACACAGCAGTGTCCCACAAACAGTCATGGATTGAAGTGACCAATTTATTATCTTTTTTTTTCTTGAGGGATTATTATCAGGCGTGTGGAATAAGGAAACTTGCCCAAGGTTTCGCCCTGCCAGGAACTGAACCCAGATCTCTCGCTTGCAAGGCGAGTGCTCTAACCACTGAGCTACAGGACTCCACAATGGAGACATTCAGGGATGTTTCTTCCATCAGTGCATCATTGTGCTTCTCAGTGAATGGAGAATGTTTGACCAGTGAAGATTAATACAGAAATTATATCTTGCTAATTGAGTTAAGAGGAAGTATTTTTGAAGAGAAAGTACTCCTTCTGACCAATTTCTAGTCACTGTCTGCACCAGGAATTTGGGTTGGAAACAGAAATTGCTCGAACTTAAACGCAATAAAACTCTCTGCCGAGTTTTAATTCATGCGTTAGATGCAACATTCATTTCCTGAACAGGCATCAGAAATATAAAGCAAAACCGCAGAAGCTTGGTTCTGGAGACGTTCGGAGGAAAGTTAAAGACTGGTGGCAGACTCATCTCCGGGTCTGAAGATTGTGTGTGTTCAAGCCCCAAGTTAGTACGTGAGCTCAGAGTCTGACACTCCAGTGAAACGCTGTCAAAAGTGGTGAGTTCTCGGATATGCGGTCCTGCAGATGGAACACTGAACTGAGATCAGGTAAACATTATTTGAAAAAGAGAAGTGATTCTCCAGGCCAGCAATTTGCAAGATTAAATGGTCATTCACCTCGCGACTGTTTGCAGATTATCGGGAGGTACCGTCCTTCAGATGAGACATTAAACTGAGATCTCATCTGCCTGTTCAGATGGACGTTCAAAAAGAGAAGAGAGATTCTCCCAGTGTCCCGGCCAACAATCCCCCAAATTAAATTAGTTACTCACTCTATAGCTGTTTGTGGGACATTGTTGTGCGCAATTAGACTGCTGCATTCATCTGCAAATACACAATCACTCAACAGTAAATCCTATGAAGCGCTTTGGACGTCTTCCTGACACGAAAGGAGCTATACTAAAGGATTATTATTAACATTATTATTGTTATTAACATAAATAGCTGCTGCATTTACCTATAAAACTGTCACTGAGTTTAAAAGTAATTCTACGCTAAGTAGTCAAACATTTTAACATAATAAAGTGCCAAAAAATAACACTTTGCTTTTTTACAGATTACTGGCCTGACAGAGTGCTGTCCAATCCTTACCATCATGCAGTTGAAAGGCAAGGCTGGTGATTTTCTGGGTGATGATCATCAATGGCCTGGAAAGTAAAGTAAAAATAGCGTTAGATTTCAGAATTAATGCTGATACCGTGGAATCTCACAAATTAGGTCAGCAAACGGACAGAGGAATTTTGACCACGTCAGGTGGCTGACCTCAATAATGAAGAAACAATCCACAACAAAACAACAATTTGCACTTATACAGCTCATTTTACACAGGAAACATCTGAAAATGCTGCACAAAACTACTTTACAAATTACATGCAGATACATTATTTGTTCATTTCCATCGTGTCCTGTGTACCAGCTGTTAGTGGTTGCGAATTTAGTCGTTGGAGACATGTTCTCAGATTAAACTGTTGTACAATGCTGTATCATAGATAAATACAGCACAGAAAGAAACCATTTGGCTATTGAGTCTGCACCAGCTCTCAGAGCAACCTGTACATTCAATCTCACTACCCCTCTCTATCCCCATATCGCTCCAAGCCTATATCCTTCATATACCTATCTACATCCCTCTTGAAACTGCCAAAGTGGATTCTGCTTCTACCACTTTACTTGTAGTGCATTCCAGGTGCCAACAACTCAGTGAAAAAAAATATTTTTGCTCTTTTTGTCACTGTCTCACATCTATGTCTTAAGTAGAAATAACTTTGCACTATTTACTCTGTCAAAACCTCTCACAACACTTTCATTATCAACCTTTGCTGCTCCAATGAGAAAATACCAAACTTCCAGTCTCGCCTCATAACTATCACCTCAACCCTGGCATCATTCTCCTCAATCTCTTCTGCACCCCCTCTAACACCTTAACATCTTTCCAGAAGTGAAGTGTCCAAAATTGAACACAGTATTCCAGTTGTGGCCTAACCAATAATTCTACGTTGATTACATCCATTGCCTCATCCCACCCTCCCTCTGTGACCACCTGTGACCTACTGACCCATCCGCTTCCTCCATTCAGCTAATACCAACCTGCTTCAAGTCCGCGCCTCATCTGCCCAACCTTCAGTGGGCAAGCTTTCTGCCTCACCCCCTTGTCACCGTCCAATTAAATCTAACCCCAAATTTCTTTGGTCCAATTCTATTCGGTCCCCAGCAGCCCTCCAGTGCCTCATCCAATCATAATTAAGATTTTAATTATATGGTGCAAAGGATGTCAAAGATCATTTGCTCTAACTCGATCAGTGAGTGAGTGATGGCACTAGGTTCGACTGCCAATCGGTGACCACATATCTGGGATCTGAGTTGGCTGCAAAATGAGGTTGGGATGAAAAGGATGGGGGCTGGCGATGGCTGCAAATTTCCTGCAGAATTGAAGTGCCGACAATTAATGCGCAATTAGGAAAACAAATCGCTGGCATTAAGAATAGCATCCCTAAATCAGGTAGATCCTAAATGTCTCTGATATAATAATCTTAAATTTAATATGGCGCCTTTCAATTCTCAAAGCATTTCACAAGAGTTACTATAAAGTGGAGCCACTGTATTTTGGAGGGGAACAGAGCATCTAATTTGCATTGCAATGTCCTACAAGCAATCATGAAGTGAATGACATATTTTATCCAGAGGATTGTTGGCTAGCACAATGGGAGAAACCCCTTCTCTTTTCAAATAGTGCCATGGGATCTTTAACATCCACTGATCAGGCAACCCAAGTTAATATTGCACAGCATTTCCAACAATGCAGCTCTCCCCAGCACTGCCCTGGAGTGTCAGCCTAAAGTATGAGGTCAAAGCCTCTCATCATGGAGCTTGAACCAACAGCCTTTTGACTTTGAGGCGAGAGTGCGATTCAACTGAGCATGGCTGACTCCTGACTACGTAGTCAAAATTATCATTGAACAGTAAACATTGCTTCCTGCTGCAAAGAGTCAAGTCTCAGATGTTCAGTTATAGGATTTAATTAATGTACTGGAAAACTTCAGAGACTAAAAACTAGATATAAATTCCCACCGCATTAAATGTTCTTAAATACTTTACGAGCATTTGAGGGAATAACTGGAGACTCAAAACTAAAGAGACTGACTTGACAATATTAAACAATCGTGGCTGGGGAATTATTGAGGGATTGAGTGTGCACAGCGCTGGGGAAACAGCTGCTTGAATGCGTTTTGCATTTCTGGTTTAACCTAAGCATTCATTGTATGCAATTAACTCACTGAAGTAATTGATATGTAAGATTTCAGCATTGATGAGGGGTGAGGGGAAAATAAAATGTAGGAATCTGTGGCACTTTGAGGATGGGGAGTTTATAGGCAAATCAATATGAGGCACAATTTGTATCAGAGAAGCAGTTTTGCGCTCAAATGCAGGAGTTTTTGTACGGTATATAACAGCTCATCCGTTTAGACTGGCAGCTTTAATGTTGCTTTAAAGATTGCTTTTTATTTGCTGATATGCTGCCCTAGGAGGACTGCAGAGATTCAACACATGGGTTTCATAAACTTCAATGAACGGAAACAGGTTTTGGGATGGGGCAAGGAAAAGGAAGAAAAATAATTGACTCTGAAAACTGGAAGACCCATTAGCAACTCATGCTCGAAAATGGCTGGTGGCTGTTTGTGGAAGATTGCTGTATGCAAATTGGCCACATTTGTCTACAAATACAGTCATTACCCTTATATGAATCCTGTTAAGCACTTTCAGACTTTTCGACTTTGTGATAAGTCACCAGATAAAATGGAAGGGTATTTATTATTATGGCACTTTTTTTCCTCTTTCCTCCTCCATAAAAACTACAGTTCTTTTGTGGCCTGTTTTCTGTTGGTTTTGACTGAGTGACTGTTTCTTCCCATTGTATTTACTTGATGTATTTTCCTTTATTGGCATATTCACAATACAGACGCTTACATCTGGTGTGTTTTCCCCCTCCCCCACCACAGAAATGGAAAAATTTGGCCACAAAAAACAAACGAGAAGTCAGATTCAGCCAAAGGATCCACGTCACAGCACCAGGGCTCCTTTGAATATGATTAACTTTATCACTGAGCACCGGTGCACTCCTTATATAATGAAATCCCTTTTTCCATAGTGCAACAAATAAAGGGCAAGGCCTTCGCCTCAGGGAAGAGGAGAGGAGGCCAGGCACCAAGAACCTGTGCCTCCCAGGAACAGTCTCTACATCAGCCTTTGTGAAAGGGATGAGAGCAAGGCCCCCAGGCTGTCCTCTCCGCCAGGAAAGATACCTCCCAGGAGACTTAAAACAGGAAAAACAGGAAGTAATACAATTATTTACACCCACCGATCCACTCCTGATACTGCATCTGTGCAGGTTTTATTAATATATAAATCTAATATTATTTATTAATTAGTTTAAAAGTAACGGTTTTACACAGCAATGTCGTAACAGGCCAAATTGGTTTCAACTATTACGTGGAATCAGTCAACTGGTGGTTTCTTTGGCGTCAGCACAGACTTACATTTGGTTACTTTGCATAATGATTATGTCTAATATCTACCTCTGTTTTAATGCAATTTAACTTGCATTTTAAATAAATGTGTTTTTTTTTAAAAAGGATATATGAATGTTCATAACAAAATTGTTTACAAGGGAATGGAAAGAAGAACTCAACAAAACGCCAACAGCAAAAGAAATGTTCTGAAGAATCTACTGAATCCCAACAGGGCAAAGTATCCAGATTCAATAATAATTTGGTCACTCAATCCATAACCGTTTGTGGGACACTGCTGTGCACAATTGGCTGCCACATTTCTCCCACAAAATATACAGTCAATTCACTTTGCAGTATATTCTGTGAAGTGCTTTGCGACAGCTAGAAGAGGTGAAAAGCGCTATATCAAATGCAAGCATTACAATTATTATTATTATCACATAATTTTTTTCTTCATCCATTCAGTCTCGCCTCCACCTCCATTTTCCATGTTCTTTCATGAAGATAATGACTAATTCTGGATGTCTGATCCCTCACCTCATACCTCATTCGTAAACCCAGACAATTAATATTACAAGACGATGATATCAGAACCCATTTTTTGTCCAAAGTCAACAGTTCATAAAACCTGTATGAAAAGTGCCATTGGACAATTGGGCAGTGATCAGGAGAGAAGGGTCATAGATCGCGCAGTTTGCCAGGAGCCAAGATTGTAGATGTGAAATGTACAAGTCAATGCATAAGGATGGAAGAAGCTTGTTTTAGGACTACACTTTGAAAAATGCTGCACTGTACATACAGACAGGAATTATTTCCCAACCGCTGCACATTATCACTGTTCAAGAAAGCTGTGATTAAATAAAGCAGATAAACACTGGGTCACTACTTCTTTACTTTCGTTCTAAGCACTGCAGCCCCAGATTGGTCCCAACAAATGGCGTATTAATTGAAAGATGGGTCTGTTGGTTCCAGATGATCTGATAATAATAATCCTTGCATTTGATACAGTGCCTTATCACATCTTCGAGACGTCTCAAAGCGCTTCTCAGAATATACGGTAAAGTGAATTGACTGCATATTTTTTGATCTACTTTGGAAACAAGGGAAATGCTTTTGTAATTTGATTATACAGATTACAGGCACACACGCTCCATCAAAATTTGTACACATGAATCAACTACACGAAGTGTCACAAAAAGTGTCATTTCCCTTAGATTACATCTTGCAATCATTTTTTTCACACAAAAATACTATAATGCAGAAATGTTGCTTCGTTCAATTCCTATGAGATTCTATGGCCTCACTCTCCCACTGTGCCATGCACTAGAGCCCGAATTGGTTCTCAAAGCAAAGGTACATTTTCAGCCATATTCTGAGGCTAATATACAGACCTACGAATGCTCAAATCGTCTTACATGCAACATGATGCTCTTAAAACCCAACACACGAAACACACACACACAGAGAATAAAAACTCACCATAATAATCCACTATGCGTAAAAGGAAAAGAAGAAGACAGATCAACGTAATTAATGCAAGAAAGACAAAATGGACAAATAGAGCAATAAGTACATTGAATCCATGGGTAAATAGTTTAAAAACAGCCAACTTAAATGGTGAACTTCCCATAAATACATACAAAAAACAAAAAGGCTACAATGTTTTATCAAAAATCCACGGAGAGTAAAATACTAACTTCAAAATAATAAACACAGGAAAGCTTGCGTACTTCAAACATTGTTCACTTTTCTCTTAACTCCCTATAATTGTTCCCCTATCCCACCCCCCACCAGTAACTAGTTTCCATAGAAGGGCGATTTACCAGAGACCACTTGTGGACTGAACAGTCACATCCTCTGTCTCTCATTTCTTTTCTTTAAAATTCTTCCTAATTTTTTCCCCTCCGACTTGCTCCACTTCTATCCTGAAGAGGGACTTTCTTGCGCCCCACTTAGCTCCTGCCACCCATCTCTGATGAGGGGTCAAATCTGAACTATTCATCTATTTTTCTCTTTTGAGATGCTGAATGACCTGCTGTGGATTTTCAGGTTCAGGTTTTGTTTTGGAGCACGATATGACCAGGGAGCTGAGCCTCCCTGCTCTCTGCATTGGTGCAGCACAAGGTGGCTGGACTATATCCATATAGCCCAAACCCTGGCATCACTGAACAGATAAAGGCAGTAGCAGCAGCAGCACTAGATACGTCCATAGTTATTTACATTAAAGGCAATTACAATATTAAATACCCTCTGTACAGATGTATTTTACACCCGGTTAGCCAACACACAAATTAGACTTCATTGAATATTCAACAATAGCATCTAAAGATAGAGTAGTTCTCCAGCGAAAAGTCTGAAACCCCTCTCAAATAGAGTGAGCAGCGAGTTAGTGTAGTCAAGCCAGGACGTGATGAAAGTGTGGATCAAGGACTCAACAGCCTGAGGGGTGAGGTAGTGGAGGAGGCGGGTAATGATGTGGAGGTGGCATTGGGGGCGATGAAGGGGGGCTTGACAGAATGCGTCATGGCATGGATGTGGGGTTTAAAAGATAGCTGAGGGTCAAACAAGACACCAGTGTTCCATACTGTCTTGGTGAGGAGTGTGTATCCATGAACAGTGATGTTGCCAGCGCCTGAGATGATATTGACGGGAGCCAAGCAGGAGGGCCTCAGTCTTGTTGACATTCAACTGGAGAAAGTTAGCTCTCATCCTTCCAGGACTTGATGTCTCATAGACACTATGTCAGCACAGCAGTGGTCCTGGAGTCGAGGGTGGAGGCAGAGAGATTGAGTTGGGTGTCATCTGAATACATGTGGAAGTTAACCCCATGCCTGCGGCTGATATCACCAAGCGGGAGCATATAAATATTAAATATGTAATTGTGATTTGAGAGCAAGAACATGAACTTCTCAATTTAAGTTTTCAAGCTGAAATCAATTATTCAAGGTCAGAGGACACTGTCTCTTACCACCTCACATTCTCACTCACTGTGACTCACCACAAGCAGCACAGACAGTTCCTTTGACTGGCGATGTAAATAGCACCATTAACGTGAATATTGACAGAATGAGATGATACAGTTTGGATGTAGGAGCTTTGGCCCATTTGATCTCCTTCCAGAATATCCATCCCTTTTAAATGAGGAAAACAAAGCTGGTCATTCTCCTGACTGGCAGGACTGGCCCTTTAATAGCGGTCTCTTAAAATCCGGCAGAAAGAATTAGTAAAATAATCTTTTTTCAGGATTTTTACAGAGCATTTGGGCGAGGGCTCTTTATTACTCGGAATCCCACTGTCAGCTGTTCTTAGGCTGACACCGGCATATTCAGTTTATATAACCACAGTACATCAGGCTACAACACAGAGCTTTGCACCCATCATCTTCTTCCTCACCACCCCTCCCCAGGGCAGCTCTCGAGCCTCAGCTATGGCAAGTGGTGAGGCACCGAGCGGAGATGAGCCCTTCCTCGGAGGAAGGGAAATGAGCATTGGCGGACGTGTCAACCCACCCACCACTCACACGAATGGCACAAATAGCAGTGCAGTGCAAGGCTGGCAGAGGTGCCCTCCAACCCCACCCCTCATTCTCAACAATGGGAGCAGGGTGCTGCATGAGGAAAAACAATACAAAAGGAAAAAAAAACATTCAGGACCTGGTGATTGGGAAGATAACGTAGGAACAGGCCTAGAACATTCAGCCCATCTAGCCTGCTCCAGCATTTATTAGATCATAGCTGATTTACAATTTAGCCCTTTCACCCTGGATACCGCCACCTATCAAATATTCATCTACCTTTCCCTTCAATATGTTCAATGTGGTGGGGGAGAAGAGTTGCTGAAGCTTTTCCATTGGATTTCCACGTGTAACTTCATTGTCCTTCAATAACCCACCCACACAATACAGTGTCAGCACCCCCACATACCCACCACCACCCCCACCCTCCCTCCCCCCACACACACTGGTACTCAGGTTAATACTAAAAAGCAGCCACTGAAGCAGATTCCATGATGTGAACAGGGTACAACTTGAGTCCTATTCTGCAATATTAATGAGAGTCAAATTCAGAGAATGGAAAAGAGCAATGGGAATTATCTATCTCCCGAGACCTCCTCCCGTGCTAATTATTGTGGTAGTTCCAGTTACAAGTATTCTGTGTTCTTCCATTTAAGTAGTTGTAGCTTGACGTTGTAGAAAAAGATCCCCTTTCAGTCCACCCTCTTCCCTCCACAACATTGGTGTCAACTGTTTGTAGACAGAGAAAAAAAACCTTTTGTTCCTTTCACTAATCTCTGACAGATATCACACAGCCAATGTTCAACAGAGAGAAACAATATGAAATAAGATCCCGTGGTAATTAAGTGATTGGAACTAAACCCACATCAAAATCTGCAGCTACTTAATTTTTGTACAGGACCTCTTTACTTCCCGGTGCAGATTTTAAAAAAACATATAACTATTTATCAGGGCAATTGAATACAATTCTTCAACTTTTCCCATAGATATCAGTTCCATAATCCAGTAGCTGACAAAACTTTTTTTAAAAACAAGAGACTTACCCAGAGAAATCTGTGGACAAGAGTTTATAACTAAAGATATATACTCTGCTAATCTGGCACAGGGTGAGGTAGGCAAGTGCTGCTACAAATGAATACCTAAGAAACAGGAAACAAGAGTGGTTACCTCCATGAAATGCGAATACACCCATACACACACACCATAGAACATACCCCTGCTTTGCAGTTTTCTTAAATAATTTCAAGCAAATATTAAAATTAAAACAAGGACTGCAGATTCTTTAACTCATATGACTTTCAATGCGGAAGGCAAATTGTTAGTGCAAATTAGCACTTACTTAAAGACACTGCAGCAAAAGTCCTATGTAAATACAAAGGCATTTAAAATATTTAACTGAATACTTAAGTAATAATATGATAATAAAATAATAAGGAGGTGCAACATTTATATTGGGTCTGTTCTTCGTTATCACATAAAGTTAATGCATGGGCGAGCTGGGCCTTTAATGACGCAGGAGTCAATGCACCACTGGGGTGAGTATTCTTGACACCATAGAGAAGTTAAGCTCCCCTCCTTCTATAACAATAATAATCTTTGCATTTGATATTGCGCCATGTCATGTAGATCGAAAGCACAGTCGAAAAGGAGGGTCTTGAGGTGAGTCCTGAAGGTGGCAAGGGAGGGGGCGAGATGGAGGGACTCTGGGATGGAGTTCCAGAGGGTGGGTGCAGAGTGGCGGAAGGCCTGCTCGCCGATAGTGGGGCGACCAAGGCAGGAGATGTGAAGCAGGCTGGAGCCCACTGAGCAGAGGGAGCAAACAGGGTGGTAGGGGGTTAGGAGATCAGAGAGGTAGAGGGGAGCAAGACCATGGAGGGCTTTGAAGGTGAAGACCAGGATCTTGAACTGTATACTCTGTGTGATGGGAAGCCAGTGGAGTTGGTCAAGGATGGGGATATAGAGTCACGGAGCCTAATGCGGGAGAGGACACGGGCTGCAGAGTTCTGGATGATCTGCAGCCTGTGGAGGGAGGAGTTGGGGAGGCCCACAAGCAGGGAGTTTGATGCTCGACCTTGATAAACGGCAATACGACAATCTACCAATGCCATCAGTGGCATAGTCAAGCTTCAGAGTATCATTTAACCTCAGGCAATCTTTCTTCAGTTAGTAAGTGGGAACTGGAAGGACAGGAAATTTGTGTGTAACAATAGGGGCTCAGGATGACTGAAACATTAACATGCTGGAATTCAGAGAGGTGGGCTGAATAACCTGATGTGTAGATATAGAATTTCACAAGCCTTTAGAGTTAAGTTATATCTATCTCTTCTGTGTTCTTATAGAAAACTCAGCAGAAGCAAAAATCCAATTCAACCAAAACAAAAAAAAAGATATTGAACAAAGATTGGAGGAGGGTCACCTTCATTCTACTAATTAATGCAAGGGGTGTCCGCCTCACGGTGCCAGAGAGAGGGCCTCACCAGGATGCTGGAAATATCGTGAAAGGACGAGCTCCATTGAAGGTGTTTTTGACATTGTGAAGTATCCACCATGCAAGGGCTCAATACCTCCCACTCTGTATAGAGAGCAGGGCTCCACTGTTAACCCTTCACGCTTGTGCACTCTCCGCAAGGGACTGTGTGGAATGGATGGCGGAAGCTTGTTGTCAGAACGTCTTTGATTCAAACACCAAAAAGCACGCCAAAAGGTATGCAAATCTGCTTTGATTTGCAGACCATGTGCAATGATCAAAGGTGCGTGCAGAAGGGACACCTTCATTCTGCTCATCCAAGGCATTGGCATTTGTTCCCTTGTTTGGACAGAGCACTGGAAGTGGGTAGAGTTAGTTCTGTTAGCACAGTTCGATTTTGCGACTTTTTCTTCCTTTCCTATTGCAAACTATTATTCTTATCCCCCTGGGAATCGAACCAGAGAGCCAAAGCATATGTGACATGCAGTAATATTGCGTTTCAGAAAGAGGCAATGGGAGGAGGAATAAGTTAGCATGGGTCGTGCTCCTCCATAATTCAAATGCAATGCGTGAAACACCATACAATTTCAATTCAATTTTAATAAATTGAGTCATTAGTACAAGAATGGTATCTTATGAGTTGGTGGGGTTGAAGGAGGTATTAGGAAGGGGAGTGGCATATACTGCATTGGGGGAATGAGAGAGACAGCCCTTCCTTGTTTATTACAGTACAGAGGTTGTAAATCATGCCTCAAAGCAAGCTGTGCCTCCGTGCAGTTTTTGTTTCTACTGCGAGTAGAAGGTGTCCAAAATAAACACTGCTTTATACCTACACCTACTCTTACACAGAGCAACTTGTGTTGGGTAAGCTAAAGTTCCCTGGGCTATTCAAAATAAGAAGGTAGTTTCTCCTGGTGTCTTGCCCAACAATCCCTCAAATAAAATTTGTTATTTACTTCATGGCTGTAGAGGGACATTGCTGCATACCAATTGGCTGCTGTGTCACCCACAAAGCAGTCACTACACTTTATAATATACCCCTTGAAGCACTTTGGGACATCCTCAACAACACAGATAAACTCAATACCAGCTTGCATGTCGAAGGCACGTGACTTTAAGTCAAAAGAAAGGTTGGTATTCACTGGTTAGGCCACATTAGGAATGTGGTGTACAATTTTTAAGATGCCCGGATGGAAGCAATGTTCTTAAGATTATGCTTTTGAACTTTCCTCTCGGAAGTAGAAAGCGTAGCATATGGTAGACATTGTGATATCTGTGGGAAGCAGCAGACTTAAATTGCCTGTTTCACATTCAATGTTTTCTAGTTCTATGTGGTATAAGATTTGCATCCCACAACTGACACAGCCATGCTGCATACAAACCAAAACATAATTACCATGTACAGCTACTGAAAGAGGAATGTCATGAAACCAAGCACATCATACAGTCCATCTAAAACTATAATCAGACTCCAGATTACAGCTGGGAAAGCCAAATAGAAGGATCAAACAGAACTAAGAATAGAAAGGCAAATCAAAAGTAATGAGAAAATCTGAAATCTTGCAGATGAGAATTATTGCAGTGAGGATAGGAAAGAGAGTTTCAACTGCTCGAGCGTAGCTTCAGATGCCACTGTGCTCATTGGGCAAATTTCAAGGTATGAATCTTTAGTTGTATCAGAGAATCATACAACACGGAGAAAGTGCATTCAATCCACTATGCAGTGCTCTGTACTTTCAGACAGCTGATGAGCCTTAATATGGGCAATGGCAAGTTTTTTTGTAAAAAAAAGCATAAAAAGAAAATTAAATGGATCACCTGAATATTGTACCATATAACATCAAATTATTTTACATCCTGTAATTCTGTCAAAGGCCTGGGATAAGTCAGCCATCTGCAATCTAAGTTGGGAGAGGGTTTCATGCACCAATGAGACCGGGAGGAGGAGAAAGGGGAAACAAAACGCAAATATAAAATGCAAAGCAACTATGGTAATGTTAACAAAGCAATCCCACAATCAGATTTTTTTAAAAAAAACTTTCAAATTGATTCATATCTTCACGAAAGATGAGATAACGTACTTGTGAATGTTCTTGATCTTTGCCAGCGTCATGATGCAGTAGCACAGAAATATTTCTATAAAAACGTGCAGCGAGTACCTAAGGAAATGAAGAAAGAACATGGATGAGGAACTTGCTTGGTTCAATTTTCTTTTGAATTGTTGAACAAAATGCAACTTATGGTCTTTAACATCTCATAGGAGTTCTCACACACCATTACATGCACGAGCTCAATCGAGACAGACACCACAGTGAATTAATGAGAAAGTGTTGATATTGAAGAAGCTGTTCATTCTTCTTCTTGGATAGTAATCATTGCTAGGTTCAGCTTTTCATTCCAATAGGCTCCTTTCAAGCCAAGGTCTTGCAAACAGAACCTGATGGTATATGAACATGATCTGATACTGGCAATGAAGTTCAGTACACATAAATGCAAGGCACTGTATATAGGAAACACATACTCCATGGATAGGATAGCCAAGGGGGAAGCTGAAAGAGATCTAAGGGTGTTAGCTGTCTCATCACTTAACATGTCAAAACAGTGTGAGGCAGCAAGGCAAACATGATACTGGCCTATTTTGCCACATCAGTTGAGCTCAAATTCCCAGAAGTCAAATGCAAACTACATAATGCTCTGGTCAGACTACACCTTGAGTGTTGCATACAGTTCTGGTCGCTGTGACATACAGTTCTGGTCGCTGTGACCAGGCCCTAGATGCATCAATTTGACAAGCTAGGGCTCTTCAGTCTTCAAAGGAGGTATCTCAGAAAGAGAAACTCAGGCAGAATGATCAATGACTGCACAGCTCACGATTTCCAAAAGGATCAATCGAGTGCAAGATCCCAGCAAATGACATATTCACAGAGTTTCCTTTTAAGCCAACATGATCTGACTTTAACTAATTTGTCAATGTAGCCCTCCCACTTACCTCTTTCTCCCTCTCCTGCAGGTTTTATGTTCAATTCCATATGTTATCATGCAACCTTAATCTCTGGTGGCATTTTCTGTATTTAAACAATTTGATTAAAACCATCAAAAACATTCCAAGGCTCCAGAAGAGGCTGAGTAAATACAAGTACAATACATAATGATACCTTGCATTTATATAGAGGCTTCCATATCAAATTAATGTCTCAAAGCACTTTTCGAAACAAAATTTGCATGGGGTTATGTTACGACAAAGGAATTTATAGCAAAACAACTGTACACTTACCATCCAAAGCAGAAGATGACAAAGTATATTCCAAGGATTGTGACAACCACATGCCGGATAACAGTACTCACTTTAGTGGGACTGAGATAGTGACGGAACCAAAAGGCAGCAAGCAGAGCAAGCAGCTGACAAGCTGCAAAATTCACCTGAAAAACAAGTATACAGACAACCCAAACCATCATTATCTGCAATACAGGTGTCAAAAACCTAGTCGATCTATGTTCATTTCATCTTGGAACTACAGTGAAACTTTGATAACTCGTCACCCCAAGGGAAATAGCTCAAATGACTATTTATCAGAGTTGACCAGTTATCCAAAGTACAGTATCTCAAAAGTACAAGGTATTTGAATAGCTGGGAAATTGAGAGAGACCAGTAATTTACATTTATATAGCACCTTTCACTTCAGGAGGATGTCTCAAAGTACTTCACAGGATATACGGCAAAGCAGAGTGACCATGTGTTTTGTAGCACACACAAAGACATATATGTCAATAATAATTGCATTTGATATCCTGCTATTCACGTCTTCTAGACGTCTCAAAGCACTTCACAGACTATACTGTAAAGTGAATTGACTGTATATTTGTGGGCGAAACACAGCAGCCAATTGTGCACCGCTGTGTCCCACAAACAGCTGTGGATTCAGTGACCAAATTATTATTTTTTTAAAGGATTATTATCCCCGGAAAAGCGATCCTCCAATTGTCTAACAACCGGGTTCCTACTTACGTCTAGATAATTAGAAGGGTGTGGAGTAAGGAAACGTAACCAACGTTTCGCACTGCCAGAAATCGAACCTAGGTCTCTCGCTTGCGAAACGAGTACATTAACCACTGAGCTACAACCATCGCCACCAACATGTAAATGTCATTAAGAAATTCTCTGAAGACAACTGTTCAAAAAATAGTGAACCAGTGAACAATTTGGATATAGATCTATTGTAATTCATGTAAATCATCATCATCAACAATAACTACTATTTCATATGGGTCAGCATCCTGGAGCACTTGAATTCATTGCTATCAAACACTTACATATTTTTATCATTGTCAAGAAATATAAATTGTAAGAAAACGTACTGCAAGACACACTGATGCAACACGTCCTCTTAAGAATTCTTCCTGAAGAAAACCATATAAAATATACACTGATTGGCAACAGAAGCTTTGTTGACAGTCAAGTTGTAAGACTTAGATTTGCAATATGACGTGACAACACAAAAGGAAAAAACACCATTACTTTTTTTTTCTTGGGGGAAAAATGCATTTGGTGCGAGAAAACAATGCTATTTAATAAAAAAAAACTTACATTTGATATAGTGCCCTTCACGTCAGGAGGATGTCTCAAAGCACATCACAAGATATACTGCAAAGATTGTGTTTTGTACATCAAAGTGGCAGCCAATTTGCATACAGCAATATCTCACAAACAGCCATGAAGTGAATATCCAATTTTATTTGATGAATTGTTGGCTGGGGCACTGGAAGAACAGGTAGATGGTGCCTCGGTTTAAGGACAGGACCTCCAACAATGCAGCACAGCCCCCAGCGCTACATTGGAATGTCAACCTAGACTGTACAAAACCCCCATGATATTATTGTGCATGAACCTGACTCGGTTGATAGCGCTCTGGTTGCTAAGTCAGAAGGCTGTGGACGTCAGAACTTTGAACTCATAGGCTAAGCTGACACTCCAATGCAGTGCTGGGTAGGGAGGTGGGTGCTGCTTTGACAGGAGGTGCCGTCCTTCGGATGCGATGTTAAACAAAGGTGCCTTCTGCCTGTCTTTGGCACTATTCAAAGAGAAGAGAGTTTATAATAATTCTGTATACTTGAAAGCAGAACATAAAACCAGTGTTAATTAGAAAGAAGGAATTATTTTGGACAGCAGAATGTGTCTGAACAAAAACGAGAGCTTCCTTTAGCTCTTCAGGAACTGGCCTCTGTTACCAATGTAAAATATTGTGCGGCTCATTTGTAGATTAAAACACCAGCAAAAGTGCAAACGCTCAGTTCTGAAAACAACAATAGTGTATTTTGAAATACTGTGGCACTGATGAGTTTAAAAGATTACCAAATAGTGCTGGCCTAAAATAAAATATTAACAGCATTTTCCAATGTCATCCCCAGTTTCATGTTTACAGATATAATGGAAGTCTGCAGCGGCTTAGCACACCGTAACGAAGCTACCAGATTCTTCTGCTGATAGAACTCTTAACAGATGATGGAAAGAAAGGCCTTTTGAGGCATTATGGTTTTGTTTGCGTGGGGTTTACTTAGCATCCATACCTACAGTACACAAAACAAGCTTCACTTTATACCACTAATAGTGCAATTCACAGTATGAATCACTGAACTGTACGTCAACAATAACCACCCATATTAACTTTCAGAAACAAACCATTGTTCCTCTAAGCATGTTTGCCCGTTGGCTACACTACACTTGAAAATAAATAAACTATTGAAAGCGATTCACAATTTATGGCACAAAATCACAATGCACCAATGCTCAACATATCACTGGCACTTTATAAAATTAATTTTAAATTCTGGAAACATATTCTTGACCTCATGATAGAACTAGTTCCCAAATTCTTTATAAAATAATACACCACAATGCTTAATATTTCCAACAAAAATAGTGACATTTAAAAACAAATATTTCTGACTGAATTACTTGCCAGTGCATGTGATTTTGGTGACGGCTAAGTTAAAACTCCTTTTAGAACAATATTTAAAAATATTAAGCTTGAACTAATTTGGTAAACTTTGAGTTTAAGCCCGATATTGAAACTTGAGTTGATAGTCCATGCCGACAACACAACCAGATATCAGGGAGCCAGGCAGTGCCACTACAGCAAGGCACTGGTAAATCAGCATATTGTCAAGAGAGGCTATCCTCACGATGTCTATAAAAGCGGTAGACCAATATTTGGTTAGCAAATATATTAAAAGGTACGGTGAAAAGGCTGGACATTGGGGCTTAAAAAAAAGGCCAAGATCTGAAACTGGCAGAAAGGACTCAATGAACTGAACAGCCTCCTCTTGTTCCATTTTTCCTACGTTCCTATCGGTGAGATATTTAAACAAGATCCCATCTGTCTGGATACACGGACAATAAAGAACCCATGACGCTATTGAAAGAGTGTAGAATTTTTCTCAGTACCCTAGCCATCAATTTTTTAAAAATATATATTTATTAGTAAATACATTTGGTACAACAGAAATCCCAAATAAAAACACAACGTGCAACATCTTTTGTTACTTTTTCCCTTGGCTGCCGATACAAAACCATTCCGTTCTTTACATCACCTTCCTTCACCCCACACAGCTTGTGTACGCTTTTTTTTTTGACGATCCCTTTAAAACAGTCAGAATTCGTCTCTGTGCGCCTCGCATCCATGTGCGTGCCCGCACACACCCTGATAAGGCGTACTTGCTGCTTTCGGAAGGTGCCCCGATGCGCACCTTACACGCACACGTTTACTGTACATACATTTTCGGTACTCTCTTTACTTACATCTCGAGCGTCTTTCTGTACATTTATATGGTTATCCTCATGTTTATTTTAGTCCTAGTTTTGGGTACACTCGTGGGCTACTCGGTATCAAATCTTCCAGATAAATTGGTCATTCGCTCAATGACTGTTTGGGGATCCCAGTGGGCAAATTGACTGTCACATTTGCGCACACCACTTCACATATCAACTTCCATGCATTCACCGTCATTCATTAAACCTGAAGAAAATACCACCAAGCATCATTCAGTCAGTGCAGATACCTTTGCAGCACTGTGTCTATGCTTGCATACACATGTAATTTTGTTGTTGCATGCGGAGCACGTTAGTATTAACAGTAAAGTAATAAGTTAAGGAAAAAGGGGGATACTGGAAAAGGAGCAAATCTTTGTTCCTACCTGATCCAGAGGCACATTGAGCCTGAGGCTGAGTCGGTGTAACAGTCTGAAACCTGTGGTCCTTAATGGAATACTTGGTTCCTCTGCCATTCTACAGCTATATCTCCTGCCAGACAGCAACAAGACATGAGACGGTCACTCACGCACTCACTCACTCACTCATCAACAACCTCACTCCCTGTCTCACTCACGCACTCACTCATTCACTAACAAACTCACTCACTCATTCACAAACTCATTCACTAACAAACTCACTCACTCATTCACAAACTCAATTCACTAACGAACTCACTCACCCATTCACAAACTCATTCACTAACAAACTCACTCACTCATTCATTAACAAACCCACTCACTCATTCACAAACTCATTCACTAACAAACTCACTCACTCATTCACTAACAAACTCACTCACTCATTCACAAACTCATTCACTAACAAACTCACTCACTCATTCACTAACAAACTCATTCACTCATTCACAAACTCATTCACTAACAAACTCACTCACTCATTCATTAACAAACTCACTTTCTGTCTCACTCACACACTCACTCACTAACAAACTCACTCACTGACAAACTCACTCACTCACTAACAAACTCACTCACTGTTTCACACATTCACTCACTAAAACTCACTGATTCACAAACAAACTCACTCATTAATAACCTCACTCCGTCTCACTCACGCACTCACTCACTAACAAACTCACTCACTCATTCACAAACTCATTCACTAACAAACTCACTCACTCATTCACAAACTCATTCACTAACAAACTCACTCACTCATTCATTAACAAACTCACTCACTCATTCACAAACTCATTCTCTAACAAACTCACTCACTCATTCACTAACAAACTCACTTTCTGTCTCACTCACACACTCACTCACTAACAAACTCACTCACTCATTCACTAACAAACTCACTCACTCATTCACAAACTCATTCACTAACAAACTCACTCACTCATTCACTAACAAACTCACTCACTCATTCACGCACTCACTCACTAACAAACTCACTCACTCATTCACAAACTCATTCACTAACAAACTCACTCACTCATTCACAAACTCATTCACTAACAAACTCACTCACTCATTCATTAACAAACTCACTCACTCATTCACAAACTCATTCTCTAACAAACTCACTCACTCATTCACTAACAAACTCACTTTCTGTCTCACTCACACACTCACTCACTAACAAACTCACTCACTCATTCACTAACAAACTCACTCACTCATTCACAAACTCATTCACTAACAAACTCACTCACTCATTCATTAACAAACTCACTTTCTGTCTCACTCACACACTCACTCACTAACAAACTCACTCACTCACTGACAAACTCACTCACTCACTGACAAACTCACTCACTGACAAACTCACTCACTCACTGACAAACTCACTCACTGTTTCACACATTCACTCACTAAAACTCCCTGCCCCGCTCCCTAACCCTCTCCCTGCCCCGCTCCCTAACCCTCTCCCTGCCCCGCTCCCTAACCCTCTCCCTAACCCTCTCCCTGCCCCGCTCCCTGCCCCGCTCCCTAACCCTCTCCCTGCCCCACTCCCTAACCGTCTCCCTGCCCCGCTCCCTAACCCTCTCCCTGCCCCTCTCCCTGCCCCGCTCCCTAACCCCTCCTCCCCTAACCCTCTCCCTGCCCCGCTCCCTAACCCTCTCCCTGCCCCCTCCCTAAACCGCTCCTCCCCTGCCCCTCCCCTGCCCCATCCCCCCTGCCCCTCTCCCTGCCCCCTCCCTAACCCTCTCCCTGCCCCGCTCCCTAACCCTCTCCCTAACCCTCTCCCTGCCCCGCTCCCTAACCCTCTCCCTGCCCCTCTCCCTGCCCCACTCCCTAACCCCTCTCCCCTAACCCTCTCCCTCCCCCTGCCCCCTCCCTAACCCTCTCCCTAACCCTCCCCGCTCCCTAACCCTCTCCCTGCCCCCCCTCCCTGCCCCCTCTCCCTGCCCCTCTCCCTAACCCTCTCCCTAACCCTCTCCCTGCACCGCTCCCTAACCCTCTCCCTAACCCTCTCCCTAACCCTCTCCCTGCCCCGCTCCCTAACCCTCTCCCTAACGCTCTCCCTGCACCGCTCCCTAACCCTCTCCCTGCACCGCTCCCTAACCCTCTCCCTAACCCTCTCCCTGCCCCTCTCCCTAACCCTCTCCCTGCCCCACTCCCTAACCCTCTCCCTAACCCTCTCCCTGCACCGCTCCCTAACCCTCTCCCTGCCCCACTCCCTAACCCTCTCCCTGCCCCGCTCCCTAACCCTCTCCCTGCCCCGCTCCCTAACCCACTCCCTGCCCCACTCCCTGCCCCTCTCCCTAACCCTCTCCCTGCCCCGCTCCCTAACCCTCTCCCTAACCCTCTCCCTGCCCCGCTCCCTAACCCTCTCCCTGCCCCGCTCCCTAACACTCTCCCTGCCCCGCTCCCTAACCCTCTCCCTGCCCCTCTCCCTGCCCCGCTCCCTAACCCTCTCCCTGCCCCGCTCCCTAACCCTCTCCCTGCCCCGCTCCCTAACCCTCTCCCTGCCCCGCTCCCTAACCCTCTCCCTAACCCTCTCCCTGCCCCGCTCCCTAACCCTCTCCCTGCCCCGCTCCCTAACCCTCTCCCTGCCCCACTCCCTAACCCTCTCCCTGCCCCGCTCCCTAACCCTCTCCCTAACCCTCTCCCTGCCCCTCTCCCTAACCCTCTCCCTGCCCCGCTCCCTAACCCTCTCCCTAACAATCTTACTCACACACGCTCTCTTTAACCCTCTCTCTCTGACGATCAGTCTCCCACTATCTCTCTATCTCCCTCTCTCTCACTTTACTCTCTCAGGATGTCATTTAATAATAACCATTAAGTTATTCCCTTTTGCATTCGACACACACTTACTCTGGTGTCTCACTCACTGTCAGTAACTAACAATGTCTCTCCCACACACACACACACACACACAGAGCACGGCTTGTTCTTGTCACTGGCCCCACCCATCTTAACAGGCGAAGCGGTTTGCTTTGCTCGCTTAGCTTTCTTACTTCCTCCCTCTCCCTCCTCTCTCCCTGTTGGAAAATGCAATGTGAAAGGCGGCTCCACTCGGCTCCATCCTCTCCCTCCTAGTGGCCCGTGGGGCAGTCCGTCAGTCAGTCAGTGACAGATCTGTCACTTCGGTGTGTCTGCAGGGAGCAGGAGTCACCTTGTATGTGTGTGTGTGTGTGGGGGGGGAACGGGTGTCCTCTTTAATGCAAAATTATACAAACACCTTCGTTTCAGTGCCTGTGCCTATCACTATCAAATGCACATTAAAATATATGTTGTATATTTTAAAATAATTCTAGACTAAATAAAGCGTTTCTCTCTTTTTGAAACAAATCTCAAGCCCTCGTGCATATCAACAACAACAACAAGATTACATTTGTACAGCGCCTTTCAAGTCGGGAGGACGTCCCAAGGCGCTGTATCGAATATATGTGAAATACATATGCATCGTAAATATATATTGTATATCTGTATTTTAAAAAATAATTGTAGACATTCCAGATCAACAAAGCTCGTTTCCTCTTTTTATATTGAAAAAACTTTTCTCAAAGCTTTCCTTTAAGAATTATTTTTGCAGGGAAGGGAGCTAGGCAACTGTCCAACTGGGGAGTTTAACAAGGCATTTGTGGGGTTCATTCAGTGCGCATTTTGCAGAGGGAGGGGTTGGGAATGCCGGCCAGCTTCCCCCTTCTCGCATTCAGCAGCAGTTTCGGATGCTGACTGATCTGAGGTGGATTTGCAGCATTTTATATTTATTAAGTCTGTCGCCTGCTGCCTGAACTGCAATAACCCCCCCCAGCCTGTTACCTGAGGAACCACCTTTGCTTGGTTGACTCATAAAAAGACCGTTTCAAGTTACCACCTTTCTGGTTCATTCTGTGGCTTCACGTTGTCCGTGTAATCTGCAGATCCAATGCACTCTCACCTTGATTTTTTTGGGGGGGTTAAGTCACCATACAGGTTGCATCCTAGGTCACTGAGGGAAGGGTGGAAATAACACCTTTCAATCCTCCTTGGACACTGGGGTGGTGCCAGAGATCTGGAGGGTTGCAAATGTTACTACCCTGTACAAAAAGGACAGAAGGATAACCCGGGAACTACAGGCCAGTCAGCCTAACGTCAATAGTGGGGAAACTTCTAGAGACTATAATCCGGGACAAAATAAATTTTCACTTTGAAAAATATGGGTTAATAAAGGACAGCCAACTGGATTTGTTATAGGCAAATCCTGAATAACAAACCTGATAGAGCTTCTTGATGAAGTAGCGGAGAGAGTTGATGTAGTTTATATAGATTTTCAAAAGGCGTTTGGTGAACTGCGAAATAGAAACCCACAGTATTAAAGGAACAGTGCAGCATGGATACAGAACTGACTGAGACACAGAAAGCAGAGAGTGGTGGTGATCAGTTGTTTTTCGGACTGGAGGGAAGTGTGCAGTGGTGTCCCCCAGGGCTTGGTATTGGGACCACTGCTGTTTTTGATCTATATAAGTGACCTGGACTCGGGTATAGGGTGTACGATTTCCAAGTTTGCAGATGATACTAAGCAAGGAAAACTAGTAAACGGTTAGGAGGATAGTAGCAGACTGCAAGAGGACAGAGATAGACTGGTAAAATGGGCAGACATGTGGCAGATGAAGTTTAACGTGGAGAAATGCAAAGTGATGCATTTTTGGAGGAAGAATGAGGAGAGGCAATATAAGCTGATGGTAGAATCTTAAAGGGGGTGAAGGAACCCCCTGGGGGTTCATATAAATAATTATTTCGGGAAGACAAGTTTACAGGTCTACGGGAAGAGGGTGGGGGAATGGAATTGATTTGGGTAGCTCTTTTAAAAGAGTCGGCACAGACACGATGGGCCGAATGGCCTCCGTCTGTACTGTATAATTCTATGATTCTATGATAATAACAATCATTGTGGAGTCCTGTAGCTCAGTGGTTAGAGCACTCGCTTTGCAAGCGAGAGACCTGAGTTTAATTCCAGGCAGGTCAGGGCGAAACCTTGGGCAAGTTTCCTTACTCCACACACAGCCCAATAATAATCCCTCCAAAAAAAACCAAAACAATAATACATTGGTTATTTTCAATCTACGACTGTTTGTGGAACATTGCTGTGCGCAATTGGCTGCCGCGTTCGCCCACAAATATACAGTCAATTCACTTTACAATGTGTTCTGTGAAGCGCTTTGGGACGTCCTCCCGACGTGAAAAGCGCTATATCAAATGCAAGGATTATTATTATTATCATAATAATCCTTGCTTTGATATAGCACTGTATCACATCATTGAGACATCCCAAAGCACTTCACAGAATATTCTGTAAAGTGAATTAACTGATTATTTTGTAGGTGAAACGCGGCAGCCAATTACGAAACAAACAGTCGCTGATTGAGTGACCAAATTATTTTTTTTCAAAGGGATCTCAAAGCACATCACAGAATATACTGTAAAGTGGTTTGTCCATGTATTTTGTGGGTAAAATACCCAAGAGGGTTCGTATTTGGTTGGATTGCTACCCCCTTCAATTAAATAAGTCTGTTCAAAAGGTGTCAATCATGAATCGGCTAGTTCAGTAATACTGTCAATGTCCACGCAATTGTTCTTTAATATATTTGCACGTTCTCTAAATCAATGAAGAAGGAAATATCCTCCCCGTTTTGTAAAGGGAAAAAGAGAGGATCACTGACAGCTTGACAATGTGACAATTCAAAAAAATGCCCTGATCATTTGCATTGAATATTGGTGTAACATCACCTTGCCCTGTGGAGTAATGGGAAAGCGACCAGATGACAGTGGATATGCTTCCCCATTGGAAAAGATATCAGGAGTACATGTGGCACTAACATGCCTCCTAGTGGCCTTCTGCAGCGAGGCATTTAAAGATGCCAAGCACCTGTACAGTAATAGTTTGTTCATCGGGTGATTTGATGGGTGCGCCAATTTTTATCTGAATCCCAGAACTAGGGAAATTATCCAGGTTTTCTGTTTCTGATCATTGTCCCATGACTTCTGTTGGATGAGAGCAGAATTGGGTGTAGCTATTATATTCCCTGTAAAAACAAAGAAAAACACAAAAATGGAAAATATCCTTAAATCCTTAAACTCTGGCCACACTAAAATATTTAGAAAAAATGTAAATAAGTGATCGTGCTTTTTATGTGTATCTTATTCAGAGAGGATGAGTGTTTGGTATGGAGCACAGAAAAATGTCTCAGCAACGTAATACAATTTGCCTTTCTGAAATTGGGATTAAAGAACATTATTGGTGAAAGGGCCTCACCCTGTTCATAGTTATTGAGCGTATTGATTAGGGCACTTGCCTCGCAAGCGGGAGGATGTAGTTCGATTCCCGGGCAGGGCAAAATGTAAGGAAAGTTTTGCTCACAAAATATACAGTCAATTCACTTTACAGTATATTCTGTGAACCGCTTTGAGACATTTCAAAGACGTGATAAGGTTCTATATCAAATGCAAGGATTATTATTATTACTCCACACACCTCTGTTTACCTAGCAGTAAGTAGGAAGCTGGTTGTTAGTCGATTGACAGATCGTTTTTCCATGTGTAATAATACCTTCAAAAACAATAATAATATGGTCACTCAATCTGCAATTGTTTGTGGGGCACGGCTGTGCACAAGTTGCTGCTGAGTTTCACCCACAAAATATACAGTCACTATATTTTACAGTATATTCTGTGAAGCGCTTTGAGACATCTCAAAGACTTAATAAGGCGCTATATCAAATGCAAGGATTATTATTATCATTGTACAGACGATAGGTGCCTGAATATTAAAGTGTTAAATTTCCTGGTGTCAGCAAATTGTACTCAATTGCTTTGTGTAAATCATTTGCTTACGCTGCAAAGTGCTTCTGCTTGTAATGACATTACAAAATAATCCTATTTTACATTCCTGCTTAATTTTAGTTGCTGGTAATATTTTTCTGATTGTTTAAGTACCTGTAAAAGTCATTTATACTCAGTTATGTCTTCAGTATGCAGTGTTATTTTTCCCTCAATGCCAGATTTTTTATTCCAGTTCAGAAATAGTTGACCCCAAGCATGTGTTCAAGAGAAGCAAGTGAGGAAGTAACTTCCCTTTCCTCTCCAAGGTCCTGGAACGAGTTGTTGCTTCCCAGCTTCGCTCCTTCCTCTCCTGCACTCCCTTCATGAACCCCTCCAATCGGGTTTCCGTGCCGCCCACAGCACAGAAACAGCCCTGGTCAATGTGACAAATGATATTCTGTCCATCTGCAACCAGGGCTCCCTCTGCCTCCTCGTCCTCCTTGACCTCTCTGCTGCTTTCGACACCGTTGACCACTCTATCCTCATCCTTCATGGCTGTGTCCTTGACTGGTTCAGATCCGATGTCTCACACCACCTCTACTTCATCTCCACAAATGGCTTCTCCTCTAGCCCCCACACCGTTTCGTGCGGCGTTCTTCGGGGCTCTGTCTTTGGTCCCGTCTCTTCAATATCTAAATGCTCCCTCTTGGTGACATCATCTGCAGATATTTGGTCAACTTCCACATGTATGCGGATGACACCCAACTGTATCCCTCTGCCTCCATCCTTGACTCCAGGATCACTGCTGTCCTGACAGAATATTTGTCAGACATCAAGTCCTGGATGAGAGCTAACTTCTTCAGTTGAACGTCAACAAGACCGAGACTCTCCTGATTGGCTCCTGTCAGCGCCTCCTCACCTCAGGCACTGACAGCATCACCATCCATGGTTGCACTCTCCACCTTACTAAGCCAGTCCACAACATTGCATCTTGTTTGACCCTCAACTATCCTTTCTACTCCACATCTGTGCCACGACCCGCTCTGCCTTCCCCCACTTCCGTAACGTCGCCCGGCTCCGCCACTGTCTCCCACCGCAGGCCGCCGAAACCCTCATACAAACCTTCATTACATCGAGGTCTGACTATGTAAACTCCTTGCTTGTCGACCCTATCAACCCCATCCTCGCCCGACTTCACTGCTTCCCCCCCGCCCTCCACGATC